CCGCCTTTCGGTCTCCCTTTCTGGTGTTAAGATGGGAAACTAGGCGAGGTGGGGGCCCTTGGTGACCTATTTTTGGGTGCAAGCGGGCAATACTCGTACATGGCTAGGCCTATAACAATCGTAGTGGCTGGGCCGGGCAAATGTTTGTGGCCAGGGAGTCCTAGAAGCGCTAGATTTGTTCTTTTATGGCTGCCGGCTACCTGGATGGTGCCAGCGGCCCACCGCTAGCAGGCAAGTGGAGTGGCCGGAGATCATGTTTGTTGAAAAATCAGGTCATATTTCGCGATCGGTTTGGTGGCTGAAGTGGATATTCGGTGATAAAGATTGGGCAGGCTCGCGCTATTGTGGTGGTGGTGGACTTGGATTGGAGGTTATGGCGTTCGGCCGAATATGTGAAGTCATCATTGAGCCCAGCCAGCCACATTTCATGCGGGTGGATTTGCGGATTGGCTTCGCCCCATAACGGATCAAAAAGCCCAGACCCAGGCACACACTCACACGCATACCCTGGGTTGCTGGTGCTCTGTGCGTGAGCCGTTTGCTGCTACGGGGACGGATAGACTGATCTGCAGAGTCGCTTCCTTCCTGCGTGAAATGATTACAACAGTAGTGACATCCCGGTAACAGCCTGTGTCAGATTGTTCCTGTCGACATAGGGATGGTGTATGATGGGATTGATGGAGATGCTTGTGCAGTGGCACCCGGGGAAAGAAAGGATGACCTTCCGGGGGGACGGAAAGATGATCGACGACTTCATACAGGCTTTCCCCTTGAGCGAGATAGGCGCCCAAGGTGAACGCGAGCCAGCATGGCCATGATGAAATCCATTAGCCGGGGGATGCCTGCCTTGTTGACATTTGGTGGAAGCCAGAATCGGGACACGAGCCAGGTTGAGGCAAGTGGATGAAGGTCTAGCTTGTGCAGACTGGGACGTTGGGCTTGGTCCAGATTGGATGGCGGCGTGCACTGTTCTGTATGCAGTTATCCCATGCGCGTATCTCTATCCCGCGTTCTCCACGGCACAGACATCACTCGGGACGCCGGCCGAACTGGAACCAGAACTTAGGTCGGTGGGATGAGGTCAGGACAGGTTCGAGCCTCGAACCTAGCGCCACCTAGGCTGCCTTGGGCTGTTTCATTTTGAGTTGAGGCTCTGGCTAGAGTTTTCTTTTGGCTTGGTGGGGAGGCTATACTGATTACACTGGACCATCTGAGCGGCGTGGTGCTGCTTCGATGGCTTGCACTGGCCGTTGCGAGCGCAATTTTGATGAAGAAAGAGAGGACCTAGGTACGTTATCTCATTACGAAAGGTACGTACCTGGGCGATCCGTCGGCAGCCACGTGGCGGGGACAGGCGACAGGGGGCGCCCAATCAGCAGGGGCATTGAATAAGGATCCCTGACGGCCGCTCCTGGTTGGCTGCTAGTTTAAATTGTGAAACGATAGAGCCAAAGGGAAGGAGGGACCGGCCAGGCCAGACTGGACAGACGCGCGTGTTCAGGGTAGCACTGGGGAGTGGAGGTTGCGGGGAGAGTCGCAGGACACACACACATCCCATCCACAGAGAGCCAAGGAGGGGAGGGGAGAATGGTACGGTTTCTATCTGCGGAAGCACCTGTTGGTCGGTTGCACAGTCGCACGAATGCATGCTTGTGCATCGTAGGATGGACTGCTGGTGCAGACGGGCAAGGGCGCCATTGCCGACAATAGCACATGCAACGCAGACCAAAGCGGGTAAACCCAGCATGAACCATGGGCAATATTTCCCAGCCTCACATCAGTCTGCATTTGTGTGTGTGACCATGGCCAAGGCTGCCTCGGGGTCTATCAAAGCCAAGAATTCCCAAGATTGGATGATGATGCTCTTGCATTGAATGGCATGCCACCTGCAGCGGCATCTTCGGGACAGGAACAATATCGAAGGAGACAGGGTACATGGTGTACGTGTCTATCTCGGGCTGCGAACTACCTGTTAGTGGACGAGCACGGATGGCGAGATGGGCGGGTAGGCAGCTAGGACCGTCATCAACCGTTCATTGCGACCCATCTTGGTGCTATCTGTGCTGCCTTGGCCCGGCCTTTCCTGTCACGGCCTCCCTCATGCTGCCTGTCCCCGGGTTCCGGCCGTGTCGAGATGCGTACGTTGGGTTGGGCTGAGGACGGCCCCCAGCCGGGGTAGAATGGTGCGATGTCAAGACGATGGCTCCGAACTGCGTAAATTGTCTGTGGCTACGGCTCCGTGCTAACAACGGTAGAAGAGCGCTAGAACAGGACGAGCAAGGGTTGGGGATGCGCATGATCTCATGGCTCATTTCCAGGACAGCAAGTTGCTCCGGTCTGTTGACAATAGTTGGTGTGCGTGTAAATGTGTGTGTGGTATTCTGAGGCGGTCAGAAGTAATGGGGGGATGGTTAACTTCAGGTAGCGTAGTGTTGAGAGACATGCCAATACCAAGGATACGACATGGCGTTTAGTACATACATGCATATGCTACTTTATCTCCATCTGAGGGCATCTCAATGACATCCTCGCTCATCTCGACTTCGAAGAACACCAGAGAACGGGACAAAAAAAAGTATTTTGGTCCCCACCAAATGTCGAAACCAAGCTAAAACCCGACCACAAGATCGAGAAAAAAAATCCCCAAAAATCCGAGCCAAGCCAGCAGAAGAGAAAAAAAGCAAAAAAAGCAATCATCAGCCAGGGGACTCTCCATTCTCATTTCGGTTGAAACAGGGCATGTGGTGGTGGGTGGGGCGTGTGCATTTTTAGACTCTTGCTGTTCTGGTCTGCCCCTTTTCACGCTTGTCTTGTTTGGGGCTCACCAGGCTGCGAGAGCTTTCTGCTTTGGTCACACGATGCCAATAAGATTTTCCCTTTGAGCACATTGAGAATGGGCAGCTGTGGAAACTGTGGCTCTCTGCTCATTTCACGCACATCATCATGGGTGGACTCGGGACGGCACAGTGGAGAGAGCGAGAGAGACTGCGAGAGTTACATGCTGTCATAGCGGCAGCTCTTAGGTCGTATCTGCTACCTCTGGGCTAGCACCACTAGTGGGAGTTGGGTAGGTGGTGATAGCCCTCAGTACTAGCAACGGCGCTATTCTAGAAGGCTTGTAGAAAGTTGGGATCGTCTGGACGCTCGGCCGCCGTGGCTTGCTGTCGGCAGCGAGGCGTGTCGTCGTAATTAGAATATGGCTTTGATTGTACATCACACTGGTAATTAGCAATCATCTGTGGATGGCGCTCTCTGCGACCGGCGTGTGCGTTGCCTATCCTGGGATAGGGCCACTACGGTAATCTGCGGGCTGCTGTGTGGCTTGCTCGTCGTTTGATTTCCATGCTGCAGCAACGCGGACTCGCGACGGCCAGGCTCGGCAGGCTACCTGATCTGCAGGTATTCGCAACCATGATGACTTGCGGCTGTTGGTCACAGATGCCTTGGGTGTTGCTATTTCTGGAGCTGCGAGCCATCAGCCCGCCCAATTATCATCTTATATGTCGGCACAATGAGGTAAGTGTGCTGTCGATGGCACGTCGCAACTGAGTTCAGGTGAGGTGGCTACGGTGATCTCTGCCGACGTTGCATTCTGCCAAAGTACCTCGTTTATGGCAATGGGTTCTGGATGTGTCTGTTTCCTTGCTCGGTCCCGGGGCTGACGGGCTCCTCCTTTCTGTCCACCACCTCCTGCATCAATGCCGCCGCAGTTACAGCATCTACCAAACCACAGTTGTGGCTAGCTTGCAAGCCCAACGGCCATTCACAACAGACCTGCGCGACTAGAAGCAGCACCTAGAGCCCGGCATGCAGCAGCAGTATGCACTCCTACGGCGTAAATGCACTGGTGCGTTAGGCGCGGGGCTGCAGGGAGCAGGATACAGGCAGTGGCTCAGGGAGTACATGGTACAGACCACGCTTGTCCACGAGTAACGCGGCCTGGTGGTGCACACACTTGCACGCACACTCACACACACATGATGCAGACTGCAGTGAGCATTGGCAGCGTGTCTGATTTCCTGAAACGAGGTGCCTCTCACGCTACTGGCTGCCCATCCACCCCTTGGATCAGGTACAGGGACAAGGCTCCAGGGCCGCAGCTTTAGTCCTTTATCCTGGCCCCACTCTGCTCCGCTGCTGGTGCGGCGCGGTACGTACCTGCGGCACCTCTCCTGCACCTCCTGCACCGGGCGCCTGTACCTGTACCTGACCTGTCAAGATTATGGAGAGCCAGCCCAGGGGGCCAGATGCTCAACATTAGCAGGTACCTACCTTAGGCCGGACCTGCCTCTCCACTAAAAAAAGTCCGTTTGGGATACAGCCCAGCTTCATCCCCACCTCCTGGCCCACCCCTTGACCGTCCCTCTTTCATTCAACACCACCTTGACCGGGTGGGCCCTCCCTGGTAGGGCCAATGCCATGGTCAAGGACATGGTCATGACATCCTTGCCTTGGCGTCGCTCGCCCAGAATGGGGCCATCGACGATGGGGTTGCTGCGCACCAGCATCGTCGTGCTCCCAGTCATTTATGAGGCATGAACCCCTTCCTTGAAGCCTTCTAGAAGGCCTCACATCCCTTCGTTCTTATTATCCCCCCTCCCGCTATCCATCCCTCGTACCTGAAACCGGGTCTTGTCACTCTTTCTTTACTCTCTTGCAATAGCAACTCGGACCTCGACTCCTTCTAACGGCTTCACGAAACGATACGCACTCACTCGCGGGTCGGTGGGCAACATACGAAACTACCTAATACAACCATAGCATAAGCATTGCTACCAATAGAACACAACGACGCTCTCACGCTCAACGAAGAAAAGAAAAAGAAACTCGAGACAAGTCTCATCATCTCCTGCCACCCGAATCTAGATCGATCTTTCGAGCAAGGATATTCCGTCTGATCTCGTACTTTTCGACGAAAGCTTAGCGTCCGCAAACCTGACACAGCACCGGATTTTCTTGTCGTCTTGTCTCGTCACCATCGAGGCAGCAAGGAGCCCGGCATGTTCTCTTTGAATGCGCCCATAGCCGATGATTCCGTCATCCGGCCAATTGGCGATGATGACCAGCGCCTGCTACTGGGACTCGTTCACAAGTATGGTCTTTCAAGCCTGATGTGCGCCCTGACTGGGCTTGGTGAATCATGTATGTGGGATTCTGACCATCGAGAGCCTTGAATTCGCCCGACTAATCTACAGTACAGCACGAAACTCGACAGTGTCGGCCACGACCTTGCTAAGCAACACCAGCGCCCCTTCCTTGGTGTGGACGGCCTCAGATGCCGCATCCATTCGAACACAGTCCACCCGTGGAGAATTGGCTGGTGATGTCGCCTCTATTCACGATTCAGAGCTGGGAAAGCCTTACCTCCCTGAGCGACAGTCGTGGCTCGAGTCGCCTTGCGCCATCACATCTCCCCATGTCCAAGATGCCAACGTTGCTATGCCCGCCTCCCCTCGCCTCCACATCTCCACCCTCAAGAAGTATCAGTGCCCCATGTGCTTCCTTGACCGCAACCTGGTCGAATTCGGCCGCAAGAGCGACTTCAAGAAGCATCTCAACAACTTCCACGGTACCGACGTCGTCTGGATTTGCCGATCCAAGGGTTGCCATCTGTCATTCGCTACCGAACGCGCCTATAGTACCCATGCCAAGGAGACGCACAGGATGGAGGCCCTTCCTAGCAGTGCTGCACGAACAGAGCTTTGCCCCCAGTTGGCCTTTGCATGTGGCTTCAGCAACTGCAAGGACCGCATCTTCGAGGCCACCACCAAAGACGATGCTGCGGCAAGCCGCGACAAGTACTTTGAGCACATTGCAAAGCACTTTGAGGATGATTACGATGTCAACGAGTGGGAGTACCGTGTTCAGATCCACAACTTGATGCGCCAAAACCGTGTCAAGTCGATCTGGAAGTCGTGCATTTGGCCCAAGGAGAAGAGACAGCAGCTGTCTTGGCGTCCTCGATCATCTGGTGACCTGAAGCGAATGCTCGAGTGCCGCCATCTTGGAGAAGACATCTCCCAGCTGGTCCGACTTGCCTACATTCTCGGTACCGCTCCTTTCACCTCTTCCAGGACGCCTCCTCCCAGTGAGATTGATATGCACTTCCAACTTCCTTTCCGTAGCCAGTGCCTCCTCGAGACTGCAGATGTACCAGCCAAGGAGGAGGACGACAACATGCCAACTCTCACCTCTTCCAAGTCCCGTCCCCAGTCTCTCTTCCGACTACCAAGCCGCAAAGGTAGAACCAGCAAGACCCCCCGACCATCGACACCTGCTTCCATTGCTGGATCCGACACGCCGATGTCTGGGTCCGACATCACTTCTGCTCCCCACCCTGGCACACCGATTCCCATCCCTCAAGGCCGTACCTCATTCGACGGACCCAAGTTTGCTCCCGATCAGGCTCCTCAACTGCCTAAGCAGATGAACACCCCGGTCAGTATTCACAGCGGATGCGAGACCCCAGTCTCCGGCTCGCCTGCCATGTTCTCCGTTCCTATGCATCACGGCCCTGACAACCAGGCCTACTACTACGGGGCTCAAGCACCCACATCCATGCCTGAGGGCATTGTCTATTCTCCGTACGAGCAGCCTCTGCCGCACCCTCAAGACGCCGGAAGCAGGTACAGCGAGATGATGTTCGGTTGCACACCCCAGAGCCAGAACTCCATGGCTCGCCCCGCCACCCCGGTCCCACACAAGCGACCTGCCTCCTGGGGCCGGGTTACAAGCATGGAAGAGATGCGTCCCAAGAAAAAGCCTTCTACTCCCACTAGTGGACACTATAGGCCCGAGTCACCAATTATTGGCCATGGTGAGCCACTCCCCATGAACCACACTCTGGACAATGTCCCCAATGCCTACGGCGAGATGATCCCGACTTACCACACCCACCCTCCCACCTCTGTACCACCCGAAGAATGGGCCCTGCCCGTGCGAATGGGTACCGAGCCGCAGGGCGGCTTCCAAGACCAGCACCACCACTACGCCCCGGTTCAGCAAGAGGCTGACCCGATGACGTTCTTCTTTGATGACACTGAGGGACGCATGTAATAACACGCCTGGTGCTGGTCGCGAATGACCCCTTTTACATTTCTCAGCGAGCGAGCGAATTACGACCGTTTTCATACATTATCATTTTTAATCACCTACAATTAATAGAAGGACAAAGGAAAGACGACTGCAACATTGGCTGTTGCGCATCACTGCTTTGTGCTTACTGCATCTACCTGAAATGGTTACACGGCTATATACCTACCCTGTTACACTCTCCTTGCCGTCTGGGGCTTACGGTTGAATTTTTTTATTCCCCTTTACATTTCATCATGGTGTCTTTTTGACAGATGCATCTGCTTTTATTTCTTTTCATTTGGATTGGTTTGGAGCCAAATAAGATACCACTTGCGTTTCATGGGCTTATGAGAGTTGAGGAAGAGTGGCGGAAGGAAAAGCATCACAGCGTTTCTTTTGAGCGAGAGAAGAGGAGTAGACAAGGTTTTAGGATGAAAGATTATTCCCCCCATTTTGTGAAATCTGCTTGTTTGTATCGGGATCCTTTGAGTTGGTGGTCCCCTTTTTGTCTGCATTTAAGAAGCGACCGAATGCCCTGGTCATTCACGAAGTTTTTTTCCTTTGTCAAACCTGAGTGGCCACTCCCTGGAAGGAGCTCGAAAATTTTCTGTCCTAGATAGAGCTACATTTATCTAATAAACGAAGATATGAAAGCCGAAAACATATCAAGGAAACAGTGACAATTTCCACGTCTACGTATTTCGCTTTTAAGTTGTGGTGTTGCACTGCTACTCCAATCCAGAGATAGGTCGCGATGCCTGGTTGTGACATGTGATGGATATTCGATTAAGGCAGCAGACAGGCTTCACCGCTTGGGAGGGATGCAATGATGGCCAAGCTACTATGCGGAGAACAGGACCCTGAGTGGCTGGATCCTGGGGAATCGATGCAGGTAGACAGCCAGAGTCGCATGCAAGATGATTGTTACTCAATATGGAACAGCTCCTAATTTCCCCCTAGCAAGCCGATTGATGTGCCAATTGGTGCCATTGCAGTCGTCTGCATGTCTGCTTTGACTGTTTTGGACGATATAATATGCAGGAGTCGACAAATGATTACATCGGGCTCTGGCCGTCCACCCACATCCATCTTGGGGAGATTACTAGCCCTTCTTACACGGACGCTTATTCTTGACTAGAAGGGGCTAGATTCTGGACCGTTGGAGACCAGCACACAAACCGTTACTGTAAAACGTTGGTGGGCGAAAAAAAATTAACAAAGGCTGGAGGCGAATTTTCACATGCCGGCCTTGGCTGTTTGCTTTGCCTGTGCCAGACGCGATTTCGACGGCATGCACGATGCAACATGTGTATCACTGTGCGGTCTCGGCTAAGTGCTATGAGGGGAGGGAGTATGAGGCAATATTGAGCGGCTGAAGCTGGGTGCATGTTGTGTAGTATGCAATGACACGGTTTGGGTCTCCATGTGCATTGGGAAGCGAAGGGGGGGGGGGAGGGCGGAATAAGCAGACGGAGATCTTGCGCAGTAATGCCCCATGAAGATGCGCGTGCATGTTTGTTGCGGTAGCGGCTGGCTGTCAGGCGTTCGGGTAATGTACGACCGTCTTACATGTGTAGCCCAGCCATGTGGTGGGAGAGCGATCTCCGGAGGTGAATGAGTCGCAGGGGAGATTGATGAGTCGACGATCGAGTCGTCGGAGCCGTGGGGCAGTGCCCAGGGCTTATCTACCTGGGGCGGGCGGACACGCCGGGCTATTGAGTTTCTGGGTTATAAGGGATGGGTGCTCGTGCGATCTGGGTGGGAGATCTAGTTCTGGCCACCGAGCTTGGCCGCGGAGGAGATGGGCAGGTTTTCCCGGGTGCGGTGGCGGTCGTTTTGGTGTTTCTTGAGGCTTCACCCACTGACTGCCGGTGCGGCGTTGGGGTGGTGAGTCATGTGTGCTCCTATTGGCTGATGGGTAGGTTCGTAGCCATTCGGAGCAAAGATGGTGTGGACCCCAGCGCTGGGGCTTGACCTGATTGGGAGCACTGGCCGCTGAAGCATGTGCGTATTTTGATGCTAAATGCGCACTTAGGCGGCTGCCCGTGTGTGCATACAGAGATTGGCTGCCGAAGGGGGTGCTCTGTGATGGCCATTGGGGCGGGGTAGACGGTGGTGGTGTGTGGTCGCTGGATGCAGGGTGCGGTCGCTGGAGGGCGCTGTCGCTGGTGCTGGCAGTGGTGGTGGTGGTGGTGAGTAATACCTCGAGTGCTGTTTACCCGTGTCCCTCTTAGCATGGAAGCGAGAACGGCCGTCCCCACAAGAATCGGCCGTCAATTGAATGAAATAATCCAGTCGGGAAGTCCTTGTGGGGTCAGTAGCAACTACTTATCCATTCATCCTTCCACCATATCGCAGATTTCCTCCGCTGCTCCAATATATGCTTGCAGACCTCATCGAGGCTTCTTAATCCATCGGGAGAGTATTCTTCCTCCGCGCGCTTTCCACTTCTCTTCACGACCTGATTGTGTTGCCGCTGTAATTTTTCCTACTCCCCCGCCCGCCACGCTCACCACAGAAATATCCTTCACCATGCTCCGAAGTCGCCCGGCCACCCAGGCCTTGAGAAATCTCAGCCAAACTCGCTCTTTTACCACAAAGACTCGCGCTGCTACCGCTGCCGTCGTCAACTCACAGTCAAAGTCGCCTGCTTCGAAGAGGAATCAGACCACCTCTGCTGCCACGTACGTCGCCCTCTTTGGCCTGCATCTGAGCTCGTTTCTTTTGCGCCGCTGTCGGAGGTGGTGGGCAAATTTCTATGCACCGACCACGCAACACGCGCGCACCAAGGGAGAAGAGACAGCTGCAATGCCAATTCCCTCGCTATGCACTTCGCTCTCGAGGTTCATTTATGCTGACATGGACGAATTGCTCTCCGCAGAAAAACTCGCGATATCCCTAGCCCTGCTTTCCAGGCCGCCGACAAGGACCGAAGCCATGTCCAACCCCTGGTCAACCCCAAAAGTCCTGAGATGGACGAATCGTACGGCACCAATGCTCCCCCTCCTCCGCATCCTCGTATGCGCTTGTGTGGCTGGATGGACTAGTACTGACCCGGGTGGTTATTCATTAGGTTTATCGGAAAGACTGGTGGCGAAATTTTCCACGAGATGATGCTGAGACATGGGGTGAAGCACGTGTGTATGTTTTCCTCTTTGTTCCCCGCCAACGGCCGTGTGTCATCCCACTAACCCTGTCCCTTGTGTAGTTGGATACCCCGGTGGTGCTATTCTCCCCGTCTTCGATGCCATCTACAACTCAAAACACTTCGAATTTATCCTCCCCAAGCATGAGCAAGGTGCTGGCCACATGGCCGAGGGTTACGCCCGGGCTTCTGGCAAGCCTGGCGTTGTCCTCGTGACATCTGGTCCTGGTGCGACCAACGTGATAACTCCGTGCGTCATCCAGCATTCCGTGAGCTGCATATCCAAGTATTTCATTTCTAACTCGTCTTCGCAGAATCCAGGACGCCTTCTCTGACGGAATTCCCCTCGTTGTCTTCTCTGGCCAAGTCCCAACCGCTGCTATCGGTTCGGACGGTTTCCAAGAAGCTGATATTGTGGGCATCTCCCGGGCTTGCACCAAGTGGAATGTCATGGTCAAGAACGTTGCAGAGCTGCCTCGCCGCATTAACGAGGCCTTTGAAATCGCCACCTCCGGCCGCCCTGGCCCCGTCCTCGTGGATCTCCCCAAGGATGTCACTGCTGGTGTCCTCCGACGCGCCATTCCTACCGAGGTCGTCCTCCCAGGTGTCCCTAGCCCGGCCAGCCGCGCAGCCATGGAGCTATCTCGCCAGCAGATGCAGGGCGCCTTAAAACGTGTTGCCGACCTCATCAACGTCGCCAAGCAGCCCATCATCTACGCCGGCCACGGTATTGTCCAGTCCGAGGGCGGCTCTGAGCTTCTGAGGGAGCTCGCTGACAAGGCCTCGATCCCCGTCACCACCACCCTGCACGGCCTGGGCGCATTCGACGAGCTTGACGAAAAGGCTCTGCATATGCTTGGTATGCACGGATCGGCCTATGCCAACATGTCTATGCAGAACGCCGATCTCATCATCGCTCTCGGTGCCCGCTTCGATGACCGTGTCACCCTGAACGTTTCCAAGTTCGCTCCTGCCGCCAAGGCTGCTGCTGCTGAGGGCCGTGGAGGCATTGTTCACTTCGAAATCATGCCCAAGAATATCAACAAGGTCGTGCAAGCTACCGAGGCTATCGAGGGTGATGTTGCTACTAACGTCCGAAACCTCATTCCTCTTGTCAACAATAAGTCGATGGAGGAGCGAAGCGCTTGGTTCGGCAAGATCAACGGGTGGAAGAAGGAGTATCCCCTGAGTCACTATGAGCGATCCGAGCGTGGTGAATTGATCAAGCCCCAGACCCTGATCGAGGAGCTCAGCAACGTGACTGCTGATCGAAAGGACAAGACCTACATCACCACTGGTGTTGGTCAGCACCAAATGTGGACGGCCCAGCACTTCCGATGGAGACACCCTCGCACCATGATCAGCTCTGGAGGCCTTGGCACCATGGGCTTCGGTCTGCCTTCTGCCATTGGTGTCAAGGTTGCCAAGCCCGATTCCCTGGTCATCGACATTGACGGTGATGCTTCGTTCAACATGACTCTTACTGAGCTCTCCACTGCAGCTCAGTTCAACATTGGTGTGAAGGTCATTGTGCTGAACAACGAGGAGCAAGGTACGATCACTACCCCCTATCCTAGAGCTCTATCCTAACTTTTTTTTAGGCATGGTCACTCAGTGGCAGAACCTCTTCTACGAGGATCGCTATGCCCACACCCACCAGGCCAACCCCGACTTCCAGTTGCTTTCCAAAGCCATGGGCGTCCAGTGCCGCAAGATCTCCAAGCCCGAGGAGGTCGTTGAGGCCCTCGAGTGGCTGATCAACACCGACGGTCCCGCCCTTTTGGAGGTCATGACCGACAAGAAGGTCCCTGTCTTGCCCATGGTGCCTGCAGGATCAGGCCTCCACGAGTTCCTCGTCTGGGATGGAGGTACGTCTCAATCCACTTCCCCAACATGACTGCATATTGATAATGTACTCACAACTCTACAGAGAAGGACAAGAAGCGACGCGAGTTAATGCGTGAGAGAACGGGTGGTCTACATGGTTAAAAAAGTAAAAAAGTTTCTTTTTATGGCGACTGGAGAAATGGAAAAGTGACGAGATTTTACCCCAGTGAGCAAAGTCCTGCCGACGACAAACTCACTCACACATGTCGGAACTGTTATATACCACCTACTTTTGTTTTCTTGCTCCACCTTTCCCGATTCGACAACCAGATTCTTTGGCCGAAGAGACTAGGCTCGGTTATCTCACCCATTTTGTCCCATCTTGCATATTGCCTGTCTCTTCCTGTCTGGTAATGACGGCGTTCCTTTATTGATGGTTTAGGAGGGGGATTCTTTTGTGCTATATGAAGTAGAAAAAAATGAAAGTTTCTCGTTCCCTCCTACTTGGTGTTTGATCGCTGTGACTTTTCAATGTGAAGAAGTACGTGGAGGAGAGTAGGGTTGTATTCATGACAATACTTGGGCATACTGGTCGGGCTGTGTGGCGGGGTAGTTTATGTCTTACAATCCTCTTGAGGAGGTCAAAATTGCTGTGCTATCGTATACTTTGGAATACGGTAAGGGGTCGGCTGAATTAGACCCCCCAAGTATCTGTAGGAGGCTGTCTTTGGGTACTGGGTACGCTAGATAGATACTCTAGCTTCTTCATCACCCTTCAAAATCCATTTGTTTGAAGTTAACGACGTAAATCTGCACTGATTAACAATGGGCAAAAGGCAAATGGAGATAGAGCTTGAGAGCGTGCTCTTTCATTGTTGTAGCCTTCTATATTGAAAACTAACGTCATATAGATGAGTTCGGAAGCGTTATATGTAGGAAAATCATTCCACTCGAGACAGATGAGAAAAGACTCACTTTAATTGGCAACCCTTGTAGAAGGTCAAAACTACAATGCTATGCCGCGACAAGAACGAGGCACGATGGCCGGTAACCGGCTATGCTCGCAACTCGAGAGAGGCCAAGATTGCTATGAAACCCGCAGTGCCTCATTTGTTTCCCTTGCATTTGCCATAGTTGGAGGCCCAGCGATTGGGCCGGGGCCCTCCAGCACAGCAAATTTAACCCGCCCGGAAAGGTTGTCAGGCGTAACGCCACCATGTTGCGCAGTCTTCCATGGTGCTCCCCCATGCTCTTCACGCCACGAAACCAGGAATAGTTCCCGTGTATTCGCAGTTTTCTGGGCTGGCACAGTAAGCTCATCATGTCTAGAGGGCTTGTCGGGTTCAAGCTGCACTTTCGCACGGCTCTGAACCGTCAGCTGGGTTTAATCAGCCACCCCGTGCGAGGCGGTTTGTTCTGGTGTGCTAGAGCTCTAAACAGTGATGACTCGGGACCTCGGATAGGGGCTGTGCAAAAGGGCACTTGGTCTTTGACAACCCCTCTGGAGTGGTTAAAATTGCTGTGTAGGGAGATCATAAGGCGTATGTATAGGTATAAAGACTACCTATACTTCTCCAGGCAAAGAGCAATTGGTCTTTGACAACCTCTCTGGGGTGGTTAAAATTGCTATGTAGGAGGTACCTCCCGTGTGGCGTACATATGTATTGATATAAAAGACCACCTATACTTCTTCGGGCAAAGGGCAGTTGATCTTTGACAACCCCTCTGGAGTGGTTAAAATTGCTGTGCACCAGCCGGGCGCCCTGCTGAATCTGGGACCCACGCCAGGTAGATCACTTTAGCATCTTCGCCGCCCTCCAAAATCGAACAATTCCAAGCCGGCGACGTACTGCAAATCCGCGATGTATCCCTGAAGGTCCAAGGAGGTTTAGAACGCAACCCGGAGGCCTGCTCTGTTTCTTTTGCAACTTTCTACGGTAAGGGAGGGGGACGAGAAGAGACATAAGCGTTGAGCGAAGCGAGGTACCGATAACTTCTCTCAGCTGCACAAAAAAGTAGTATGCAGGTTGAGGGCCACACATCCTTTGAGGGAGGTTAAAATTGCTGTGCTGGGATCATTCTTATCCGAAGGTGATCCCACTGCGCTTTCCTAGTTTAGGTCCTAGCAAGTGAGCGTATTGAATTTTGTTTCTGGCACATGGGCATGTTAGTTGGTGAGTGCTCAACGCTGCAAAACGGCAACATTGTATGCCTGACGGTCTTCTGGGCAGGCCATGATTGTTGTTCAGGAGCGGCTCATTGGTCCGCAATCAGTTTTACCGAACCGGTCAGCTCCCCTTGCCTTGTTTGCCGTGATGCATCGAAATTATTAAGAGAATGACGGCCAGGATTGTACGAAAGCGTAACTGTGGGTTCGACAAGCCTTCTGGGGATGTTAAAATTGCTGTGCAGTCCGTCACCCCCATGTCCGGTAAAGAAAAGCGGAGACGAGCGTAACTTGGCGTTCCAAGCAACTCCTCCTCCGAAGATGTAGAAGAAAGTTGAGGTACGCATGTTTCAGGCATGTACTATCTGATTTGATGCCTGCGCTCTGGGACAGAAAATAATTGTAGGCATTGTGATGCACTTCTAAATAGAAGACTACTAGTAAAACATCGATTGCTAATTAGAATGTGGTATATGATGTGCTCATTGATCATACTTCGTTTGGTTCACTTAATCGGACTTGGAGCCTAGACAAGAAGTAGAGCCTACCTAGTAAACTTGTATTGGTAGGCGCAGATACACAAATGGAAACCAGGTGCAGGTTTCGAGGATAACTCACGGCTTATGTTGTGGTGGTTGAAGCCTGCATAGGGTAGATGGATAAGTTCGGTTATTGTGAAGGCAGAGGGATCGGTAGAGTGACTATTCCTGGTCGAAGCCTCAAAATCACAGCGTGTCCCCGATAAAGTCGTCGGCACGAAGCCAGTCAAACGTATCCAGCAAGTCAAAGTTAAAGTAGGGCTGGTAGGCATCCGGCTGCTCGAAAGGCTCCAGGGGCTTCGAGCTCGACTCGATCTGGGGGTTGTTGAGCGTGTGGTCCAGGACGTGCTGGATGACGGTCTTGCAGCTGGCGCAGAGGGTCGAGTTCGGGGCGTCGGGACTCACCCAGCTGAGGAACCCGACTAGCAGACTCAGCTGCTGGATGATGCTCGATCGGGTGACCTTGGGATCGCGGGGATGGGGCCCGGAGAAGGTTGGTTTGAGAAGCTCCATGCAGAGGATGCCACCGCCAGGAGCGGCGTAAGCCATGACCTAGCAATTTTTTAGTTTCTGCAACCAAGGAGTAACATTTCTGGTTGCCGTCAAGATAATTGATACTTACGAGCCACTGGAAGTCTATGCGAGCTTTTGTAAACGAGTCTTTGTGGATCCAGAAGTTGAGAGTGAGTGTGACCATTTCATAACTAATAGTCAGCAATTCTCCTTCCTGGGCTTGGCCATACCGCTGGAGCAGACGCTCAGCAAAGAAAAGATTCTGCAAGTGCTCAATCTGTATCAATGTTTTCGCATACGCCGTGTCGGCATTCATCCTGGGGTCCTCGAGTTCATGCGGATCATAGGCTAGCCCAGGGGGGAGCTCGGCGATGAGAGCTGCTTCGCGTGCTTTGATCTCTCTATCTTCAAGTCAGCTACACCAGTGGGGATAGCCGGGCAGAGAAAATGGCATCTGGCTTACATTAGGGTGTTAACCTTTGGTTGCTTGCTGCTGCCGAGGGCTATCTCGAGCAGATCATCCCGGACGTGGGCGATGATGACGCGCGCTCGAATCATCGTCGTGGCACTAAAGTCGCCAGTGGTTTTCCATCCATTCTTATCGAGAGCTCGGATAGATTTCTCTAACGATGCGTTCCCGGCGAAATAATCCTTATCGGAGATGTCCAGTGGTGGCGGAGTGGAAGCATACCGGTTACTCAGAAGCGGCGGTCGCCCCTGAAAGGAGGCTATAACCTTGTCAGTGGTGTACGCGACTGCAAAGAGCCTGCGCCTGAGTTCGGAGCAAAAAGTCGGCGTGTAGTTGGACTGCTCTGGCTCCGTATACAGGCCAAGGTAGGTCGAGACGGCGACAGCATCGGCATTGGCTCTCCAGCACTCGAGGCCTGCGTCGCCGAGCGTGACTGACTCAAGGAAGGAACGCTTCGAGCATATGTGCAATACCATCAAGTTGCCCCCGGCCATGCAGAGACATAAGCCGAGACAGATGTCGAGCCATTCCAGGACGGCCTGCTTGAACGAGATACGGTGCCACCAACTACTGGCGCATTCCTCCACCCCACACCCACCCGAGAAGAGCTCGGGAAAGGTGAAGAGTAAGCCTAGTGACTCCCACCTCAGGTTGGGACCCACGAATTGGTCAATCCAGTCATTGGGGTCAGCGAGATCGTCGGAAACTTGCTTCAGCGTGTTGGTGGACATTAACTGGGCAAGATTCTCGATCTGCGAGTCGGATCTGTGAGTCAGAGTAGTACGAAAGCTCGCGAGAATCTTACCCGCAGCTATCTGGGCCCAGGTGTCGTTATTTTTGAAGGAGATGTTGGCCTGAGCTTGCGCCAGGTCAAGGTCGGGTAGGTCGCGGAGGAGAGCATGGCAGTTCGCCCGGGTGGCTGCCGACATGACCCAGGGGAAGCCGCCCGCGCGGATCGGCTTGAGGCGGTCATTGGCCGGGAGGGGCGAGGGCTGGCCCTGCAGGCAGGAGAGCCTGGTGCGGGCCTCCTCGTAGACGGCGGAGTAGCTGGTGAAGCCTAGAGGGCCGAGGCGGGAAGGGGGGAGGAGAGGTGCGGTGGGTGATGCAAGTGAGGAGGAGTCATAGCGATGCTGACGGTGCTGAGTTGGAGAGGCGGTCGTCACCGCCGTCGTACCACTGGCACACCCGCTCTCGTTTGATGGTGTGGAATACTGCCCGCTAGGGTGATTGGAGCTGGGAGGAGCACCGAATTCAAAGTCGCTTCGAGGAGTAGGACGTCTGGAGCCGGCTACATGTGCCGCCGGGTGGGTCTCATACGATGACAAGGCTGCCGGCAGTGATGACGATACCGGAGATGATGCTGGCCGCAGACGTGCGCGCCCTGGTGCTGACGACTTCTTAGTGACCTTGGGGCTTGCGATGACCTTGGTGGAGGCCGATGCCGACGCCGTGGTGGAGCCGATGGTGTAGACGCAGGCACTGGCTTGGTTGCGTTTGCGACATCTGTTGCAGACGGGCTGCGTGTGGTCACAGGCTACCTTTCGGAGCCGGCAAGGATCACAGGCCTGGGGCCGGCCATTGAGACGCCGAAGCAGAGGCGTCTCCGCCTCGCTCTGCATTGAAGGAGAAGATGTGCAAAGAGGAGGGATCACAGGGCAGTTGTCAGGCCATCGATGCGTACAGAGCGTGTCGAGGAGTTAAAATTGGGTTTCCAGGATACGATGGGGACGCGGAGTCACAGACGGAGACGGAGACGGAGACGGACAGCAAAAAGTGGGAATATCTGCGGCTGAGTCTGAGGGTTAAGCAAATTGGTAATTGGATGAATTGGTAATTGGAATGGATGTATGAAGATGGATAATCAATCAACAGTGGGAGAATGGAGGCAGACGGCGGTGCTCGGCTTCGGCTTCGGGGTCGAGCTAGAGACGCCGGCTACAGGCCCTAGACCGCTGTAGGGTCGCCCAAGGGCGCGCACCCATGTGCTGCGAAGCGCTAACAGCACTAACAGCCCCCACTGGCCCCTAGCGACGGTTCGCTACCGAACGCCGTCCCTGGGCTCCATCTCCATGTGCTGTGAACGTGCGCACGCAACGCTCCTCCAAGTGCCAGCTTAGCCCAAATAAACTTCGGCTCTCTCCACCAAGGCAGGCTCCATCCTGATTTGTCACCGGCCGTGTGACTCAATCTGCCGTGTATGCACCTCAGGCAGGGAGGGTCTCTGATCCGAGCAGCGCGGTGGGTGAGTGAGTGTCCACGGGCTGATTTTGACCAGGCCATTGGCATTTGGCGGCCAGCCCAGGGAGGACTAAGCATGCTCCAGACTGGTTGGCGATGCTGTCTCGGTATCTAGTATGCATATATATAGGCTTGGCCCTGCGCCTTACCGTAGGGGAAATAATTCATCACAAGATACATCCATTACTTGCTTGACTCTTGGTCACTTGCCTCTGCGTCTGAATCCCTCTAAAGATTCCTGTCTTACAACAGATTTCCAGCAATACATACCGATCCTATCAAAATCACCAACACTTTCACAATGGCTCCCACACTCTCCAGCAAGAAGACCCCGGCTGTCACCTCAGATGCCGCTTCTGAAATCACTCTCGTGAACCCCGGGAAAGGTACAGTGACACCAATTGGCAATAAATCCACATATACATCGACCACATTGGGTTTCCATCAATGGCGGCTAACACATATCCTCCACAAAAGGTTCATCCTCCTCCGGTCCTCGAAGCTTCAAGACAGCCGTCAAGGACGAATTCAGGAAGTTCAAGAGCGAAGTCCACAAGAGCACCGTCGACCCGCATAAGTCTTGGGAGGCTCGATACTGTAAGACACCTCGCCTGCCCTCCCCAACCCCCTCACTTACATATCGCTAATTTACTTGTCGTTATTGACGCTCTTAAAGACGCCGCACATTAGTTGCTCCCGGATCCGAGCCCCGGTTGTCCTTTCATTAGAGTTCCTTCATCCCTCCGATATAGACGGACGCTCTCACCGGCGATCGCACTAAAAGTGGCTATTTTACGACTTTACGAACAGTGTTTCAATGCGTAATGGGGATGGTTTTTAAATACGTCCATCCACCATTAAGGGGACGGTCTTTTGGATAATTTCCTGCTTTTGTATGTTTGTTTCTGGCCCATCACGATGGGCTGATTTGCACTTCAACCTCTGCTTTTCACTGCGAGAATTTCATCATAAACGCATTTAACAAGAAAGGCATGATCATGCCTGTTCAACTCTATTTATAAATCATCCAAGTCTATGATTCTTTCGTCTACTTTCATTCATTATTCCGTGATAGGTCGTAAGCGCCATTTCCGTCCAAAATAGCAATAAAATAAACCAAAGCAATCATCGTCCGGTTATCTACCCAGTTCCTCGTTACACCGGCTGGGTCACCGGTCCTCGTGCCGCCTTTTCTCCGCCATCCTGCCCTCTCTCGACCGTCTCGACCGTCTCCAACTCTGCCTTCTCATCCGCCGTCAGCGCAGCGGACGCCTTGCCCATCCTCACGGTAATCAACAGCACGAACGCCAATGCCGCCAGTGCGACCCCCGTCCAGAACCCGATCCGAAACTGCTGGTCCTTGTCGACATTCTCCGCGCCCTTGTACTGCACCGCGGTGCTGACGGCCATCTCGCCGATGCCGAGCCAGAACGCCAACCCGAGATATAGCACGCTGTTGATGAGACCCCCGGCCGTCGACTGCAGCCGCTGCGGCATGGCCGTGGTGATGAAGACGTTGCTCACGTTGAAGGTGATGTCGATGCCGATCGTCCCGCAGATCATAGCTGGGAAGACGTAGGCCCAGTACAGGAACGAGATGGACGGGTCGCCGTCGCTGGAGCGCTTGGGGATGAGGGCGAAGAGGAGCACGGAGAGGAAGAAGCCGAGCTCGGAAATGATCATGAGTATGCGATTCGGCAGGATATGGAGCAGGAATCCGCCGCAGATGGCCAGGAACATCCCTCCCACCGCAAGCGGGGTGAACCACGCTGCGGCGAGGAGTGGTCCGATATGCAAGGCTTCCTCAATGCTAAGAAGGGGGAGTAGGGTGGTCAGACAAGAACGTGCAGGTTATGGTTGCAGTATCAGGATTTAGACTTACTAGAAGCTCACATAAAAGAGGAACAGCCCAAACACACCATACAGGCAGAACAAGCCCCCCAGCATCCGCTTCATGTACTTGGGGCGGAAGATCTCGGCCGGAAGCAGAGGCTGCTTCGACACCCAGCCCTGGCAGTAGACGGCCGCGCAGAGCAGCAGGGAGCCGATGACAAGGGTGACGTAGATGTAGGGCGTGCGCCAGCCGTCGGGCGCGTGGGAGCCGTTGGTGAAGGCGAACACGACGAGCACGAGCCCGGGCACGATGGTGCACACCCCCCACCAGTCCATCTGGACCGATGGGTCGGTCGCCCCCAGCCCGCGCGGGATGGAGAAGGCGCCCAGGAGGAAAACGAGGGCGCACATGATGCAGCCGAGCCAGAAGTACCAGCGCCAGGTGAGCAGCTCGGCCGACAGGGCGCCGAAGAAGATGCCGACGTAGAAGCCGATGCAGGCGAAGGCGCCGTACAGGCTGAAGACGAGATTCTTGCGCGGACCCGGGCGGTAGGCGCGGGCGAGCAGGGCGATGCCCGTGGGCATGAAGGCGCCGACGCCGAGGCCCTGCATGGCACGGCAGACGATGAGCATGGTGGAGTTGCGGCTGAAGCCGCTGACGAGGGACCAGACGATGAGCCAGGCGTGGCCGGAGAGGAAGACGACCTTGGCGCCGTGCCGGTCCGCGAGGCGGGAGAAGGGTAGCAGGAGGCAGGCCGTGGTCAGGTTGATGACGGCCGCAGGCCAGGTGCGCACCGAGTCGGGCATGTCGAGGGAGACGGCGACGGCAGGGAGGCAGATGAAGAAGCCGCTGATGAAGTACTCGCTCATCATCATCGAGAGGACCACGGTCGTCACGAAGCTGACCTCGACCAGCAAGGACTTAAGGATCTCTGGGCGTTGGCGGCCGAGGCGTTCCAGTTCCTCGTTGCTCATGTCTGGAGCGTCAACCGGAGCCGGAGTCGTGGACGGATCGGCTCCGTGAGCCAGAACGCCTAAGGACTCCGCCGGAGGGAGGCTGTCTTGTGCCACCGCCATGGGAGAAGGGTGTTCTACTCGAGGCTTGTCTTTTCTTTCAAGAGCGGGACAGTTCTGATCTCAATGGCAGTATAAAGCTGGCTTGCTGCCGAGTTTGACGGAGATGACAGCGTCGACTTATCCCACCGCAGTTGGGAATTGAGCCCAACCAGGACAAGAACAGGACAGGAGGGACTAACCTTATTAAAGAAGGACTGCGCGGTAAAAGTCTCCACAGATCTACTACGCGATGAACTTCCTCAACAGGAAAACATTACCTTTGGTTCGCTGCTTAGGAATCAACTCTGTCAGATTTCTCGTTCTGCGCCAGCGTGCATATTATGACGCCCCAAATGACGACCTGATGACGGCCTCGTGTTGTACCATTACCAATCTTTCGACGAGCGCATCCAGAAAGGTTGGCTTAAGGTGAAAAATAACTCCACGGGCCCCTTTTAAGCTTCGAGCCGAAGCCGCTGGAAATGTGGAACCGAGCCGGGGACTGATGCCGTGGTTCCTTCAAAACCGGGATCTTGGTTCATTGAATAAAGGGAAACTCGTAACGCCCTCGGAACTTGATTATCGACCTACATAATAAGATTATGGAAAGTACTTTACCGCCTCGAGTTTTCGTCATACCGAACCACTGAAATTCGAACATTGGACAACGGTTCAGAAGCTCGGGCCAGCGGTTCATGCTTGTTCGGTCTCTCGGCATTGATACCAGTCACTTTTGCCAGAAGTCTCATCTCCACCACTGTTCTCTCTTCCTCTTCTCTTTCCTCTTTCCTCGCGTTCCAAGAGGGATGGGGTTAATGAAGTATGTGGTACAGATAAAGAAGGAACAGTGGTAGCCCGACATGGGTCAAGCCGGCAATGGGTCGGAGACTGGCAGCAGCCCCCTCTTCAACATCTGGATTCTCGCCCTTGCCACTATTGGTGCTGCTGTCATTCGAATTGTTCTCCGAATCACCCCCTCCGGTCTTGTCGTCAGGAATTTGGGTACTCCCTTTGTAGGCCGAGCTGTTTGGCCCTCCCCACCTCTTGATACTCTCAGCACTCTCCTGCCTTGGGCTGCTTCCCGTGACATTTTTCCAGCGCTGGGCAATGTAGTCAACGACTTCATCGCCGTAGAGCTTAATATAGATACGATGTACCTCCTCGTCAACAGTAGACCCCTTGTCGCAGAACGCATCGCCCTTGTCACAATAGGAACGGATGCGATCAGAAAGGGACTCGCAGCGATCGACACTGCTCGATTTGCGGCTCCAGATCTAACCAAAGACAATAAGTATTGGTGCTATCAGCATTAGTAAGGGGAAATTACTCACGCCGCTGTATTGGGCAGTGCCGACGCTGAAGTTGGAGCCTCTGACGTGTGTCGGATCGCCAAAGAGGATACCTGCTATCACTAGATCGGGAGATGATCATGTAAGTTCCTTTCTTATGGCACTTTTCTTCTAGCGAGCATTGATTATAAGACTCACAGTTGCTTTGGGCTATTTTCAAATCGATGGGCTCGACCATGCTGAAAAAACCTCCACTGGTTCCGCAGATGATGTCCTCAGTAACCTGAGCACCCTGTTTGTTTCGTTGAGTCAGCTTGGTAGAACATTACAATTATTTGATACATACCTGAGAGTAACCGATTACTGCAAATTTTCCATTGGGACACATGCCGACGTAGTCCTCCAGGACTGCCTTGAGAGCCTCCTGGCCTTTTCTCTGCGAATCAGGGTACAAGGGTTCTATGAACTGGGCTGGATAATCGAGGCCAACAACTTTGGATCCAAGAATGCGGTCGGCCACACGGTTGGCGATGCGTCCGCTTTCGCCTGGGCCGGGAAGCTCGTTTGTGGCTCTGGCGACGACGATGTAGAGGCCGTCGATGCATTCCATATCCTTGTCGCTGGTGTTGATAGCGTCGGAGACAGAGGCTGTTGCCACAAGGGCTATCAGGATGCTTGAAACCCAATACATGATATGATGATTTATCGGTGTTTTAGGTGACTTCGAGTACTCCGTGTAGTGCTCAAATCATAAGAGTACCTCAGGCACCTTGGTTCGCTCTTGCCTGCCCACAATTTCTCCCTTTGCTTCTTAGCGAAGAGAGGAAGTCGGCACAGGACTTTTTTCTTATCGGAGATTTATGGCATTATTCAGTGGAAGTGGTTGGCATTGCGTGTTACGAAGTGCAACAACTCCCTGGAACGCAACGGTGGTTGTCTCACTTCCCCTCGTGGCTCACGGCATCTGTGCGTGTATTGTCTCACTGCGACATGTTGAGCACGAAACCTCCTATTGCGGGCATCCTGTACTTGACCCGTTCTCCCTCTTCCGAGAACGGGACTTGACATGTCTTGGTTCGTAGCATATTGAGACAGAGTGAGACCAAGGAGCGGTCTGTCCAACATTTCCGGTCACGCTCATGAGTAAGCTTAAAATATTCTCCTAGGTCCCGTCGGCATTTAATATTATCATGTTCGATGGTTGAGCAATTGTTGTGTCGTGCCTGTGTCACAGAGGAAGTGCGTACATGAAGCATGATTGGGGAACCTCTGTGCATCCATCCCAGCTACGAATACCTTGAAAAAGAAGACAAGAATTCATGACGAGGTTTGAAAATGAATCACTGAGAAATATATTTTCTGACCATCTTTTTGGGCTGCACGATGGAGAACTACTTCGCTTGCCTGCGTAACTCTGGACGGCTTGAGGTTAAAGCGGCCAGTGAGTCATTCAGCGCTGCGCCTACAGCGCTCAGCCCAGCACTAGCCAACCTATAAACACCAAGTATAAAGCACAAGAGATGAAATTTACCTTGATACTTGTCATTCGAGAAGCTTTGCGAAATATTAGATTTTTCGAATTACTCACCTATCCATGCCTTGATTTGCAAGGTTCTGCCGCTTGAGCAATCTTGTTCACATTTAAATTGCCCGCTCCATCTCCGGCGTGGCTGCTCATCTGCTCCTGCCTGCTCTAGTCCCTCCGCAGGCTTCCCAAACTTGCCTCACACCTTCATTGCACGCCTTATAACTTGACCCCCAACCTCACATCTTCATGCTGATTCCTCATCCAACTTGACTCGCTTCACCAACAACTCACCTTCTGTTCGCCGCACAAGAGCAACAAACTCGAATATCTCGCTCACCTTAGTTTCTCCGCTCAAGTACGCTTCTGATAATGGGCGGCAACGCCTTCGCTTCGGGGCCAGACCCCCTTCCAACTCCACGCATGCCCAAAGATGTCTACCTTCTGGTCAAGGAGCGCTGCTTCTCCATCCTGCGCGAGATGTACGAGGTTGTCGATTCGCCCATCGAGGGTCCTGGAAAAGAAGACTTCGGCGACCTGGATATTCTCCTCTTTGGTCCCAAGCCTGGGCTTCCACAAGATAACGAAGCCGGGGTCAAACAAGTGGCCCAAGCACTGGGTGCCGTCAGAGTGATTTACATCCGAGATAGCTCCTCCAACCTCGCCATCCCATGGCCTTCAGACGTGGACCGACCCCCAGCAGCTAAAGAAAGCGCAGAAGGGGAAGAACAGTCGGAATCACAGATCCCCGCGGTAGCTCCACACGTCCAGGTCGATGTACGTATCTGCGATGACTTAAAAAAGCTACAGTGGCAGTTGTTCAAGCATGCTCACGGTGATATCTGGAATATCTTGGGCTCTACCATCCGCCCATTCGGACTGACTGCCGACGAGGGTGCCCTGTGGCTGCGTATCCCAGAAATAGAGAATCTGAACCGGAAGCGTGCCAAGATCTTTCTTACATCCGATCATGAGGAGGTCATGGATTTTATAGGTCTGCCTACCTCGGGCTACTGGGACGGCCCGTTTGACACTCTCAACGACCTGTACGAGTATGCCGCACAATGCCGAATGTTCTCGGTACCGCCCTCCGTGGAGGGAAGCGATACCAGTGTCACATCTAGCGAGGGAAAAGCATCCTCAGAAAGCCCACCGAAGAGAAAGCTCAAAGCCAACGACCGCCGGAGGATGAACTACCGGCCAATATTCCGGAAGTGGATCGAGGAGTTTGTGCCCGAGTGCAGCAAGCAGGGCAGGTTCCGAGAATTGAGCCTCACGAGAGAGGAAGTGACGCAACAGGCGATGGACAAGTTTGACGTGAGGAAGGAGTTTGAGCAGCGGCGTCAGGAGTTTTTGCTCGAGAGAGACAGAGACGCCATTTGGAAGAACGTCATCAAGGTCCAGGTTCCCGAAGCAGACTTGTCTAACACTAAGTCAATCACATACCGAGGATGCCTTCTCAAAGCACTAAAGAAGATCATTTTGGAGGGTGAGGAGACATGCGGGGTTGTTCCCGGGAACAGTATGAAGGATGAGAATGGCTTTTTCATTCCCGACGCTGTTAAAACCTTCATCCGCGAAAACAAGGATGCGATAGGATATAAGGCGTACGGCATGCATCATGAGGCTTACCTCTTGTCAAAGGAGGCAAAGGCGAAAGACACGCTCCAGGCTGGGGAATCATAATGTTCAGATACGCGATATCTATCTGTTGTCTTTATAATAGGCAACAGAATCTAATGTCACTTTACGATAGAGGAGTTTTCCAGAAACCTGCACCTATTTTCGTCTTTTAGTAATTCAGGAAGACCTAATGATTAGGCCAGAAAAAAAAGTCGGTAGTTACATTAAGATGATTTATCGACAAAAGACCGCGAAATGATATTGATACATGATCACTCCTCAGGATTGTAAGAATGAACTAGTCAGTTCATTTATGCTGCATGAAATCCTGCTAAGCCTCTAATTTTGTTCAAGCCATGAAGGCACAAGCCAAGGTCAAGCAGCAACCTCCATATCCAAGAGGGTAACAAAACAATAGCATTCGCTCACGATCTCAAGAATCCCAGTCTTATGCTAGTGACTAGTTTCTCTGCCCCAACTTAGGTGATACGCCTCTACTTTCTCAGCTAAAAACTCCCAGGGGTGGCCGTTGAAGAATCACATGTAATATTTACTCTGAAAATTGACCGTAGGAGATTATTCATGTTGGTGATAGTTCTGCTAGCAGATAATAGGAAGCCTTTATTTCAAGCATAGCGGACCTCTAGCTGGTCAACTGTGTTGTAGCGTCTAAGCAGAGCATCCGTCTGTGTGGTTACTGTGCATCTCTCGGTCAAGTAGATAATATCTACCGTGAAATATGAAGACGAATTTCGAGTCTCATCACTCAGCGCTTCCAGTACCATCCCATCTGATAATACGTTTCTTCTTCTCACGATTGTTTAGATTGTCAATAAGGGTAAGGCTCTTTACTGGTCCTTTCAAATCCCATACGATAAAGCCATAGAATGTTACTTTCCCATCTTTACTGAAAAACTCTGGGCATCTGGGCAACTGATCATGACCTTGACTCCAAACCATTTTTTGCAACCAGGGTCAAATATTACAAAGCTTTTCCCATTAACCTAAATCTGTATTCACAATATCGCCCTTGTCGCTGAATTCCATATTTTCCTGACGCCGCCCATACTGCTATCCCGACAACCTAGCTGGTAATACAAGAAATAATCATGTAATGTATCCATATCTGGCCATAAAAATACGCCCGAGATATTGTTTCCCCAACGGAGTATTCCACTCCTCCTCAAACGATAAAGAACAAAGTCCTAGAGAGCCCGTGAGATGACACAACCTTGGACATCCAGCTTCGAAACCCTGTCCCAGCTCACCTCATCAAACTACCACGCCGTGGACGTCCTGGGCCCGTCGCAGTCGCCTCGAACATGCGGTCCAGCCACGGATACCACTCCCGCCACTGCTCCTGCGCGGCATCCCGAAGCCCTCGGGCCTCTTCCACAACATCGGCCGCCACATCCCAGCCGATGCGGAGGGCCGGCTGGATGTTCTCGGCAGCTGTGGTGTAGGTCTCCGCCACGCGGCCGTACGCACCCGTCAAGGTAGTTAAACCAACCGCAGAATGGTGATGGAGCCCACGGCCCACGACTGCCAGGTGACGGGCGGTCGGGATGCCGTGGAGATATCTGATGGCCGGGGCGGCCGTTGGGTGCTCGACTTCGAAGCGGTACGACTCCTGTACCCGCGGGCCGATGGGGACGGCAAAGTCGAACTGGGGAGCGACTTCCTGCTCCCTTTCTTCGTCGCCATCAAAGATTACGACGACATTCTCGTCGTCGAAAATGAGCTCTCTCGGCTGGGTGGCCGAGAAGTTGGATAGGTGGTTTATCGCCGAGGTTGTGATATCACCCAGCACGCCTCGCGCGCGGTCTGTAAAGGTCTGGGTTGGCTCTGTCTGAGCAGTCTCCAGCTGCTGGGCGTCTGCACGGCGGGACATATTCCAGAATCCCTCGTCGTCTGAGAGTTCGGCAGCCTCCTCGTCTCTCGAGTCTCCTGAATCAGACTGCACATCTTCGTTGGCTTCGTGTGAGTGGAAGGCCCAGTTCCCAAAGCAGCCTACACCTGATGTGCATCGAAAGCCTCTTGATGATACGGGGGTGTTGGTTCTAGTGTTCTCATATCTTGGTGGAGATCTTTCATCTGGGCTGCTATCCGTTCGAGAACTGGGAGAAGATCTCCTTGACGGATAACTTGGGGGAAACTCATATCGAGTTTGGCGTGACATGGTTGATTAAATGAGATGAGAGGCGAAAAATAAAGTAGATATATGACTGGGTATTTTGGATGAAGATTCAAGAGGAGAGAATCGAGTGTTCTTAGACAGATGCTGTTGTTGACCTGACAGAATACGGAAGCTGAGAATTCTGGGAAACAAGGGCATGGGAGAACAAAAAAAACATTTTCAGATTCAGAGCAAGGTCTACACATTTATAAAACTCACTGCTCTGTTTCGCGTTGCTCGAAGAGTCTTCTACTTGAAAGTGGCATTATTTACTTTGGGGGCGTCGCTCTTCATCATCAAGTTACTGCAAACCAGGGCGCACAAGCTTTTCATGAGCGCAAGCCCAAAAAAAACCGTTTTGAATTCTTGTTTGATTTTTTCATCTACTAGGGAGAAAAGTGGCTTGATAAAAAGGATTAATATCTTTTTTCTGGTCAGATGGGCGTGACTTGGGTCAGCGCTTCAAAACAAGCAATCTTAGACATAAACCCAAACAGATCAAACTTCTTTGGCTATTTACTCATTTACTCATCCCATTATAGTTCAAGTGGGCTACTCCCTCGAGAACAGACGGCAGCACCCGTTTGCTCTGTCATGGTTTGCCTTGGCCCCGTGAGGGCAGCTCGAGGCGGCCTCTCATCACCACTGGAGCACTTCCACAACCTGCGTTGGCTAAACATCGTTGTTCCGTCTGCGTTTGCTTCCGCCCAATGGTTTGATTCAGATTTCTTTCATTTTTCAGCAGCCCAGCGTGAAAGATCACTTCTTCGGTTGTTCACGCACCCTTATTGTCAACAAATAGCAAACCAAGTATCACCACTTCAGTATCAACAAACAACATGTAGCATCGATTCAGTGTAGTTGTTCCAATACAAAAATCAACGAGAAACCCTTCTGGTCGTCTTTCTCAACAAGAATTACTCGCGTGTTATCTCCAACTAAGTGCATCTAACCAGAATTTTCTCTATTGATTCTCCTTGCCAGCATGTCTACCTCCATACTGAACATCGGCAGACCCTACAATGACGCTTGGCGGGTGGTTGCTGGGCCTGACCGCGACAACTACAACTCCATCGAATCTAGGTGCCGCGAAGATCGCAAATGGGTTATGAATGCGGCGCCTATTGTGGCTGGAGAGCAAGACGGAGTCAAGTTGTCGAGTGTCTGGCGGGCCAAGCAACTGGAGGCGATATTCAACAACGCTACTGCAGCGGCTGAGCAGTACATGGCGGAAGACGGAGCACGCAAGTACAATTTTGCAGAGAACCGTAGGTGGCGTGAAGCTGATGAGCTGTTCCATACATTCGATGTCAAGATTTGCCAGGGCAAGACGGTCGCCGTTCGACAGGACTTGACCGATTCTCGATTCTACTGCAAGCACAAAGGGGGCACTCCCATCTTCAACTACGAGCCACCGAGGCGGCGCATCACTGGGCAGAGCTACGCGACAATCACGATGTCGGCGGACGGTGTCATTGAGCATCCCAAGCCGCCCCCTATCAGGGACTCGGACACGCCAGCTGACAGGAGGGAGTTCACGTACAACGGCGAAGTTCCGCGAGCTGCAAAAGAGTACATAGCGCGGCTCTGCACACTCCTGCCACATGCTGTCCGCGCTCTTACTTGCGTGGTGGTCTGGGAGGGAAGGGAGGTAGGACTCTCAGTTAATGCATTGTCACCGCTCCCCAGTCTCTGTCCGATAGAAGGGTTGGTCAGGTTGGCTGAGTTCTGGAGCATCATATTCGGAGAAGGGAGAAAAGCCCCGAGGCGGGTCCGCGAGCAATTAGAGAAGAATAGGGTGCTCACGGAGACAGCCTATCTCCTCAATGAGCTTGAGGCGAGGGGAGGGACGAACGACCTCAAGGCGAACCTAAGGATGGTTAGACACAGCGTTTCGTATATGATGGGACTCGAAATTAGAGATGCAGCACATCTAGAGAGTGAGTTCATGAAAGGAGAAGCTTTCGATGCGCTCTTTGACCCCAAGAGCACCAATGCCTGCTTCATTTGGGTAAACTCACGCTCGCTTAGTCGGATTCAAGTAAGTCGTTTACATCGCATCGTCTGAGCTGCGGCTGATAGGCTGGCCGGAATAATGTTAATCCCCACTTCACCCCATTCCTCACAGCAAAATTAACAAGGCGAGTTCACAGAACATCCACCAGTATTATAAACACAGGTTTTATAATTCCGATCCCCTCGGCATTATTTGTTCCCAATTTCTCGATAGCGTGTGGGATCAAATACAGGGTGCTCTCCACGCTTCCTCCAAGCTCCCTCCGGAGTCCATTGACCGCAACAATCTCGTGGCAAAGCTGACAAGAGCACCACACTTTCCGGCCCATCTGCAAAGGTCACACTTGAGTCCAGAGCTCAGATTGGAGGTTCTATCCGCGGATCAGGATAGAGCACCCCGGTCGGATTCGATATTGTGCCCCTTATACGCCCGCTCTTGACCGACGAAGACACTCCTCGTTAGCGACTTGAACAACGAGCCTCCCATACGAAGACAAACGGACGGCACGATCAATCAATTGGTTAACGAAAAGACTGTTTTGGGTCTACGATCGGGCCAGAAGATAGAAGGACTTGATTGCTACAAAAAGGAGGGCAAGGGACGAAAAAGACGACGAAAAGACGAATCAGTTGATAGTCTAAGACCGATTACTCAACACCACACCTTCACATCTCCCACAATGGCGTCCTTATTCTCCCTGCGCGGCCTCAGCCGCCAACCACTCCTCTCCGGCGTCGCCTCATCCGTCACCCACACATCAATGGCCCCGATCCGCCTCCTCTCCACGACCACCACCCTCCTCAGCAAGGCCGCCAAGCGCGCAAAGGCCGCCAAGATCGGCACCACCCCGCGCCGGAACAAGGGCCACCAGCGCAGCGAGTTCTACGCCCGCGTCAAGATCCTCAAGCAGAACCTCTTCTCCCCTGCTCCCCCCCCTCTCCGCATGGCCCGCCTCCGGCACCTGCGGCACTGGACCATCCACCGCGCGTGGCTGCTCTTCCGCCGCCAGCAGAAGGAGGCCACGCACAGGGAGCGCGTGAGGATGAACGCGGGCATGTTCAACGCCTGCGAGGAGCTGAGGAAGGTGGCCGGCCCCGGGGACAGGAGCGAGGGCTACCTGTACCGTGTGGCCATGGAGAAGAAGGGCGTGTGGGGTCTCAATGCCGTCCCTATCGAGTACGCCAGGTTCCAGACCGACAGCCCGGCCACGACAGCTTGGAACCATGATTGGAAGAGGTAAATGGGCTTTTCTCTTCCTTCATTGGACAACGTGTGGAGGGGAAGATCGTCGCAACCAAACTGTATTATTTATTATTATTGGGGACTATGTACAACCACACTTTAAAATAATGCCCATACTGTATTGTACTCGAGCACGACGTGCCCAGGCCGTTCGATATATTGATGACATGTAACCACTGGGGCCATGAGCCCGTCGAGACGAGTGAGAAGTCATAACAATTTCATTACGTACCAAGAGCTAGACAAATCTCCAAGTAGTACCCGATATATCATGCGCTTTTTTGTCCACCTCCAGGGAAGATTGTAATAGGAAAGATCGGAACGACAGGACAGGAAACTTCACCAGCTTGCTCTATGGTACCCGCACAAAGACAATCGAAGGCGCAATTGGTGATACAGAGAGAGAGTGAAAGGTTGCCACTTGGTCAACTTCCCCTTTTTCCGAGCGCCGGCCGCTATTAGAGAGTAAAACGTCTCGCTCATAAATGACAACAGAACTGGGTCCGATAAACGAAAGATTGTGGTAAATAACAGGATAGCCAAGAAGATAGAGAAAAAAATCCAAGACATGGTGGTGGGGTGATTATGGTCAGATGCGCAGCATTGCTAGTAGGAGAGGAACGAGATAGACGGTAGTGTTCGTCCTCTCGCTTGACATCCCGCTCGATCCATCGTACGGGGATAGCAGAATGTCTAATCCTATGGCCTAGGGTCAGGGTAGGACTAGGTTGGGTGCGGTAGCGTCTCAAACGTTACCAATGCCATTAGGTGAAAGTATTGAGGGGTACACCATGACGGGGCATGAATCTTTTCCAGACTTCGCGAAAGCCACGTCACAGAACAACGCAGCAACCTCCGCCCTCACCCTTCTCAAACGTCAAGAGGGCCGCACGCGTGGCTGCCTCAAACACGTCGTCCACGCCTTCACCACTCAAGCTCGAGCATTCAAGATACCGCTTGGCACCGACCTCGCGCGCGGCTACCTCGCCGTCATGGCTCGTGACGAATCGCTGTGATCTCCTTCGCATCTCCTCGATGGCCACGGGGTCCTCGCGAAGATCCTTCTTGAGACCAACGAGGATGATGGGAACACCGGCGCAGAGGCGGGTAGCTTCTTCAACCCACTATTGAGATATGGTTAGTGGTCGCCCAGATAGACACCGAGAAGGACATTGCCGCAAACCTTGTGCTTGACGTTGTCAAGTGAGTCGGGGGAGTCGACCGAGAACCCTATTAAGATAACATGGGCTTTGGAGTATGCCAAAGGTCGTAGACGCTCGTAATCTTCCTGGCCAGCTGTATCCCACAACGCAAGCTGTACGTTCTTTCCATCCACCCTGCAATCGGTCACGTAGTTCTCGAATACGGTAGGGATCTTGTCTCGGTTGTCAGTATTGCGGCACGTTTAGGCTATATCGGTTTCGGTAAAACAAACATAATGCTGCAGTGCCTGGTCAGTAATTGTGTATCGAGAGAATCAAGAGGGTGAAACATACAGTGGGAAAGTAGCCCAAGGTGAAGACACTCAGAAGACTGGTCTTGCCGCACGCACCGTCTCCAATGATGACCAGCTTCCTGTTCAGAGCGGCCTGTTAGCATATGAACCCAGAGGATGCGACCGGAGAGCCTGCCAGAAGCAGAAGCAGGCCATGCATCGAGCACCGGGATGAGGAGAGAGAATCTACCTGCGGATAACATTTTGGGGGCTCGCATTCGCCATAGGGAATCTTGGGGCGGTGAGCTACCCGCACTCGTACGAGAGATGATTGAAATGAGGGTCTACAAAGCTGTAGGACTTGTGCTTATGGACCGATGGGTGGTGGCTGTTCGCGCTGGAGAATGACCGGACAATGGGCTATTTCAATGTCGAGGATTCGGCAGGCCACGGAGTGTCTGATCGGTTCAATTCGTCGCGAGCAAGAGGGACCCGGGTGAGATAGTATCGCTTGACAAATCGTGGTGGGAGAGGGTGGTGCACTCTATTAAAGGGGAAGAAAAAGGGCCTGGTCGAACAGAATACGATGTGTTGGGGGGGACGGTACGGTGGCAGTGGGACGGGAGGACTTTCTGTATGTGGGATACGGGCTGAGGAAAGCTGGAGAGGAGGAGTGCAGTGCCCGTCGCTACCTGCTAAGCTGCTAGTAACAATACGTGCCACTGTTATGCCTCGTTCAAGCAGGCGCGCAGTGCAGTGGACAGACTGGTGGAGCTCGAGGGCCAGCCACTGTCACTCGCCGTGACTCCCACTGGGCCATTGAGATGTGGCTGTGGTAATTGAAGGTTCAGGTACCTGGGGCCTAGCACCCGAGGTAGGACCCTAGGACCAGCGAAGGGTCTGGTCTGGTTGGCCTGGGTTGCAATACGGACCTGCTCTGTTAGGGGCACCTGTTGGGAGGCAGGTACCGGAACTACAGTGGCCGGGTAAGGTGGGCTAGCGTTTAGCCTGGCTGTGCACAGCCCTGACCTATGTCGTCGGTGGTGGTGGTGGTCGCCTGAGCCCCAGCCAGTGTATGCCGGGGTTTGGCATACCCGGACCCCAAGTGCGTCACTGTGGGTATGGTGTTTGCTAGCACCAACAGGCGCATCTCGGGATCGGACAGCACCACAGGTGGTGCGCTGGAGGTCGCTACGAGGGATGGAGGCTGTTCAGATCAGGCACTGAAGGTCATGAGGCCGTCTGTGAGGACCTGGGACTAGCTGCGCGGTTGCCAAGACCCGTCCAGGCACAGGGTCGCCGTAGACCCAGCATGGTAGTAGTGCTATGGATGCACGCAGGGCTCTGAATCTCTCCTGACTTGGTTTAGTCCACTGCATGTCATGGGCCGGGCTACAGTGGAACTCTAAAGAAACAGGTACCATCCTCTCCTGTGCAATGATGCTCGTTGGATAGACGGAGCAACAATGGGCGGGCGGCGCCAATTGAACACGCGCATCTACATCACACTATCCCCGCGCTACCCAGCTATCCTTCTATATCTCGCGTTCGCAAAACAGACCGGGCCGTGCATGCTAACGTGGCGGTTAGAGTAGGACCAGTGTTAACGGAGTGGCCGAGTGTAAACAAGTGCTGGCACAATGGGCGCCAAGACACTAGTTGTGCACGATCATTGGTACGGGATTGGTCTGGGATACATGCCTTGCGGCACCTACTAGAGGCCCTCGTGTCCAGGATGGGATTGGGGTTCCGTGTCAGCCTCAAGAATGGAACTCTTTCAGTTCTTGGGAAGCTGAACGATCATAGTGATACGTATAAGGCATCGTCGGCGTTAGCAAAGCCAGACCGAGGGAGTCTTCAGCAGAGTTCAATACGTACTCAATGTCAAATCCTTCAGAGTAGCGATCTACACCGAACAAGTAAACCCAGGCCAGACCCTACGGGAGTCCAAAACTCACCCAGCGCCAGTAAGACGAATTGGTGGTGGTTTAGGCCCAATAGGTACGACTATCCAGTCTTGGGCACCTGGCCCACATCTGTAGTATGTACATCATTCTGTTCGACCTACGTATATTCCCAATTGAGTACACCTCTAGAAACTTATGCCCAACGTTGGCAGTGGGCGATTACGTCCAGGATATAGAATACGACTTATGTAGATAGATCATCCTACTGTGGAGCCAGGATTTCGGCATTCAACTGCCTGGACTTATCATGAAAATGGATGCCGCCCTGCTTTGGGGAAGACGCAATTACGTATCTGCCTGGCGCGCCCTACACGTCCTTGACGTGTTTCTATGATAAAACCCTAAGCAAACTATGGGAAACAAACAAAGCGATGTAGTTAAGCGCCAAACCTTCAATTCGCAGTAGATCAAAGGTCTAGTCTAGGGAAGGCCTCGCTGAAAGTGGGCCGCTTCAATATATGTCGATGATGTACCTTACAAACAATGCTGGTGCGTTTGAGCTTGGGTAGCCAGTAATGAGCAATTGTAACTTGTTCCAATGGATGACGGAACGCGTGGCACACCAAGATCTTGAAATTGATTTGCATAAGTATCATGAAATGGTGGTTCATTTCCTCCCTATACTGTGGATGCCACTGTCAATCAAAAATACCTGGTCAATCTACTATGACAAACTAGTATTTCAGGACACTTCAAGTTTCTTCTGTGAACAAGTGGAGGCATTATTAGTAGTAGAGAGACCCGAGCCACCCGCACAATACTGATCATAACGCGCATCCTGCGACAATAACGTATTACGGTGCAAGATTGTGCACCTATTAAACCCCTATCGCTAACCAGATCGAAGGATCCCCGGGCAGCCATGGTGACACAATTTAGGGGACCATCCATTTAGGTGCCTGCCTGAGCCGCAGGAGATCATAAGGAGGGGGCTGACCATGTCCATCAACAATTTCAGCCCCAGCGTCCTATTTATCAAGGCACTCTATTCATCACAATTAGACACGTATACATACCGCACCATCATTGTGTGTAGAAAGATACTGGAGATCAGAAATAGATAGGCATTATAGCAAATGCAACTATTCGGTACCAATGACAAAGATCGTGGAGCTGAGAAACGAAGTCGGAACAAGCTCAGCCCCTTCCTCGAGCTCTCATGCGATTGGGACGAGATGGTCACGTGAAAAGTCACGAGCCTGCGCCAGGGCCAAATCTGAACGCAGCGGCTCCACCCCGGTTTTTCGTTTGCTGGCAGGCGGCCCCAGAAAGCGCGTGCCACCTCTAAGTATCTCAGCCACAGAGAAAGGCAGGAGAGTGACTTCCAGCGCTTTCCACAGCCAGGCAACTGACGCCCTCCCAGACCAACGACGAGAGGGTATCCTCATTCACCTCGCAGTACCACAACATTCGAATCGCCAAACTCCTCCCTCCCAACCTGTCTCTGTCGCCAAACATCTTCATACCCTGGCGGCGGCAGACGCCAACACTCATTGCCGGGTCTCTGGCTTCCCTGTGTCGTCATTAGTGAGTGGCCTTTGTCCTGAAATCCCCATCCCTCCATTTGGATGAGGAGCCACCTGCCGCCCACGTTCCACCGTTTGAGCTTCTTGCTCCACCAAACCGAAGTCAACTCTGAATCTTACCTGGTTCGCGATCCGGCTGGCAGTGTCTCTTCTCGTCTGGACTTTATCAGGGCGGTAGTTTCCTTGCCTCGCTAACTCATTTCCTGGGTAGACAGCCCTCTTCAAATAGACGTTACGCTGCGCATACCCTCTCCCTTCATGCCCTCTGCTGGCGTCCGTCAATCGACATACGATGCCGACCAATCATCAGAAACAGGCCGCCCATGCCCCGGCATCGCCGCGGAACACCTCCAAGTATACCAACAAGGATGGCTCCAAGTTCATTACGGTCCCCAAGGGAGCGGCTGCCGAGTCGTCTCAGCCCTCGACCCCCACATCCAACAAACCGTCCGAGTCTCTCCCCGAATCCACTTCGCATAATAGCCCTATGCAAACGGTGAACCGGAAGAAACAAAAGCGTCGGCAAAAAGCTGCGGCCAAGGCTGCTGCTGAGCAGCAAATCGTCAATGGGCATACAAACCGGTCTTCGCAATCGCGTCCGAGTCGACCCGAGCCGGTCGACTACGAGGACGTCAATAGCGAGGATGATGAAGGGTACGAGTATGAGGCGGCGCACGAAGTAACCAATGGTCACCCGCAACAGCCCTTGAAATCTAAGAAGACGAAAAAGAAGAAGAAGAAGAAGGGACCGTCAGGACCAGACGACAATGATGCGCTTCCGTCTCGCGTACGTTCTCCTGGGGTGCAGGCGCGAGGGTCGGGCATGTCCAGGGACAAGATCTGGAGTACTAGTAATCAAGAGGAGCGGGAGCGCATCAAGGAGTTCTGGCTTGGCTTGGGCGAGGATGAACGAAAATCTCTGGTTAAGGTCGAGAAGGACGCAGTTCTGAAAAAGATGAAGGAGCAGCAAAAGCACACGTGCAGTTGCACTGTGTGTGGGAGGAAGCGCACTGCCATCGAGGAAGAGTTGGAAACGCTCTACGACGCATATTATCTCGAACTCGAGCAGTTTGCCAACCAAGGAGATGGTCCCCCCATTCTTGCATCTACCCGCGATTTCTCGTCACACCCATTCCGAAATATGCACTCACAATACCCACCGCAGTCTCCGTCGCACGGACGAATAGTGGAACATGTGGGCGAGGAGGAGGATGACGATGATCTAGAGGAGGTGTACAGCGAAGATGAAGGCGACGACGAAGAGTACAGCGACGACGAACCCCCCGAAGAATACCACAATCCTCCGGATCGCGATGTGGCAGATTTCTTGACATTCGGCAATAGCCTCCAGGTCAAGGGTACGCAGCTTCTTGAATCTCTTCTCCACAGATATGGTAACATGGACTTAGGCGGCATTCTCACCGTTGCGGATGACCTTCTCAAAAATGACGGTAAGCGTTTTATCGAAATGATGGAACAGCTTGCCGAACGTCGCATGGCCCGAGAAGAAGACGCCAGAGAGCACTTTTCTCGTGGTTACGGTCATCCCAACGGCTCATATTCCAACCCTCATAATCATCCTTCTCCTGAAGACGACGACTACGAGGAGGAGGAGGAAGAGGAAGAGGAAGACTACGACGATAGTCAGGATGAAGAGTATGAGGATGAAGAGGTATTATCAAACCCCTCTATGCTGCCGTCGAGGTCCCATACTGAGTGCTGCTGCCAGGATCCCATGACCGAGGAGCAACGAATGGAAGAAGGTCGCCGGATGTTCCAAATTTTTGCCGCTCGTATGTTTGAACAACGAGTACTGTCTGCTTACAAGGAAAAGGTTGCCAAAGAACGGCAAGCAAAGCTGATAGAGGAGCTTGAGGAGGAGGACCGAAAAGAGGACGAACAAAAGGCAAAGAAAGCTAAGAACGCACAGAAGAAGAAAGAAAAGGCCGCCCAGAAGAAGCAGGCGGCCGCGGAAGAGAAAGCCCGTAAAGAAGCAGAGAAGGCCGCGGAAGAGGCTGCGCGCATCGAATCCGAGCAACGGCGAGCATCTGAGCAACGACGCAAAGCCGAAGAGAAACGAAAGCAGAAGGAAGCGCAGAAGAAGGCTGAAGAGGAGGCTCGTCTGAAGAAAGAAGCAGACAGGCAACGTCGGATCCACGAACAGCGTGAAAAACAGGCCGAGCAAGAGCGTAAAGCCCGTGAAAGCAAAGATCGTGAGAAGAAGTTGAAGGAGGATCAGCGATTGAAAGAAAAGGAGGCCCGCGAGCTAAAGGAGCGGGAGGCATTGGAGAGGAGAGAGAAGCAGGAGCGTGACAAGCGTGAAAAGGAGGCCCGCGCTAAGGCACACAGAGAGGCGCAAGATGCAAGGGAGAGGGCAAAGGAGGAAGCCATTCCGAGCAAGCCATCGTCAGTGCAGCCGTCCCTTCCGTCTCCTCACCAGGCTCAGCTCTCCCCGTCCATTTCCAAACGCACGCCGCAACCACCCATCTCAATTCCCACAGTACTCCCTCAACATCCTCCTAATCCCTCAGCGTTCGCTTCCCCGAAAGTACCAGTCGCAACCCCTGCGATGTCAAAGGTGCCAACGCCAATACGAGCACGCGCGCTCTCCCAGCAACCAGACGTGCCTCATCTAAGTTCTGCAACATCGCAATCAGGATCAGGAGCAAGCCAAAACCCTTCACCTCACCCGGATTCTACAACCCACTCTAGCCCTCGACCAATTGGGCAACAGCGGAAGGAGAGCGTAAGTTTTACTAGTCCATTACCGCCGTCCTCGCCTCACAGCGTCCAGTCAAGTCGGCCAAGTATCTCGACACCAGTACAGGGCCTGCTACCCTTGGCTATGCAACCCCCTCCCGGGCTAGCTCATCATCCCCCGCCACCAGGATTTCCAAGTCGAATGGGCCATGAGCAGATGTTGCCTCCAGGCTTTCGCCCTGGCCCGAATATGATGATTCCACCGCCTGGCATCAACGGTCCCGGTGGCCGTGGGTTCTCTCCTGTGCCTCTACCCCCCCCTGGATTTGCCCAGGCGCCTGATTTCCCCATGGGGCAAGGGTTCCCAATGCCAAAAGATCCATCCCCCCCTCACCATACACATGTCCGTCAGGGATCTACTGGTTTTGATAGCGCCTCTTCTGTCCCTGCACAACCGATCGGACGTCCTGCACCCATTGGTAGGCCCGGGAGCATAACCCAAGGCCGCTCTGGGGAGGACAAGGATGACGAAACTCAACATCTGGGCAGCCGGGCTCTCCTTGGAGATGACGAGCCTATCGCACCGGAAGTTGGCCCTGCCAGTCTTCGCAATCAGCCACCCGGTCCACGTCAGGGTGGTTTTGGGCCTAATCCGTTCCTAGATACAGGTTTTGGTCTCAACCACAACCCTTGGGGTCCTCCATCAGGTGCCGGTCATCACTTCCCACCACCCCCAGGGTTATCTGGACCGACCTGGGGGCCTCCAGGTATTCCTCCACCTTTCGCCATGCCGTCTCCAGCTTCTGCCATGAGTCCCATGCGGTTGAATCCCACGGGTAACCTCCACCTCCGCCCGTTGCTCGTTCAATTATATAAAGATCTAAGCAATACCAGTCACGTGGATTCTGAGGGTTACATAAACCTGCGCCTTTTCAAGGTGCATCTTGAGGCACAACAAGGTGACGCACCCCACGACCAAGATTTATTTGACTACTTGGAGAATGACAACGGCTCCGGCATGGGTGGCGGTAAATTCGAACTTCGAGTAGCTCACGGCAGTCCAAGGGTTCGGTGGAGTGCACCCAACGATGTACCCAGCCCACCGAGCTGGCCGCTGGGGGCAGCTGGTGCACTCGGAAGCCCAGTAGCAGGGCCAGCGTCGCTACGAGGGATCTAGAACGGCCTCCCGACACGCGTAACAAGCAAGAGGACTGCTTCTGAGGTTTCCGATAAAGGCAGCCCGGCCCGAACCAGGAATGATGCCCTTTCCGAAGGTAGCAGAACGTCGGTGGTAGCAAGCCCGAGGCGACCTGACCTCGGCCAGGCACCCAACAGCGTCGTGAAGCACAAGAAGACTTCGTGGATTGGCTAGCGCAGGAGGTGTCGGGGCAGGGGGTTCATTGGGAATGTTACTGTTCGTATGATCAGATAAGATCAGAACAGAGCGGGTGTGGAGAGGGTTTACAACAATGGAAGCAGTTAACGTTGGCTGCACCACACGCCGGGTTATAGCGAATCTTGTTTTTGCACAATTTTCCCAAACGGTGGTTATTAGACGCCCCGAGCCCACCTCGGGAAGGAAGCCCAACATGTTGTTCGAGTAGCTGATATGAAGCATGGATTTGTTCCCGCAGCAAATGTTCCAAAGTCGACTCTTGGGCCACAGTGTTCCCAGTGTGACCATCTTGTAACCAATTGTCCCCTCCCCACATGCAGCCGTAATTGGATGAAAAATAGTAGTAACGTGAGTAATTCACATTCAAATAATAGGTATTCTATTTTGACAAATCCGATCCTTTCATTTTCCTGACTTTACAAGGTACTTTACTTAATCCCCTAAATGACCAAGAATGATACCATTGAAATAATATGCATGATGAGATATGGAAGAAAAAAAAAGGCAATCAACTCCTCACACGAAATTTCCATCCACCATCGTTATAACCAATAATGCTGCCCTCCGTCATAACGTCAGCCTGGACACCGCCAGGTGAACGCCGCGCTCGAGGTTATCGCCACCCACGACGCGAGCCCTCCTCTTGTACACTTCCCAGGTGCGTTCTCCCTTCCCCAACACTTCGAGCCATCTAGCCTCGGAAAGGGTCGGCGCCGGTGGGGGGGGCGGACGCACCGGCCTGGTTGAGGGGAGTGCGCTCGGCAGCACGCTTCTTCTTGGTGGCGGCACGGGCGAGTGCGGTGGCCTCGGCCTTGGCGGAGAGACGCTTCTGTTCCTTCTTGTTCTGGATGCACAGGTAGGTGATGGTGACGATACCGGCGATGGCACCCACGGCCATGACGATGGCGACGATGATGCCGGCGATGTCGAGGCTGTTGTGGAGGACCATGCAGATGTGGGTGCCCTCGACGTTGAAGCTGCAGGTCCAGCCTGGAGTGCAGACCCAGCTGGTCTGCTCGACATCGGAACATGTGCTGCCGCCGCCGCTGCTCCTGGGCTCGCAGGTCTCGACCTTGGTGAGACTGGCGGTCACGCAAGCGGAGCCGCTCATGGTATCTGTGTTTGAGGAGGCGGTTGTGGCGCGACCCAGGAGACCGGGGGCGTTCTCCAGAAGATCGTCAGCCCTGGCCATGTAGGTAGGCTCGGGGGCGCGGGCCTCGAGCACACCGCGGGAGCGCTTTCGGAGCTCTCCGCCGGCGATCTTGGTCAGGCAGCGCTCCTCGGCGCCCAAGGCGAGGATTGAGGCCTTGTCGTCTGTGCAGCCGGCGGACTTGTAGCACTCCTCGAGCTGGGGGACGGCCTGGGTCTCGAGCTTCTCGAAGCAGGTCTTGATGATGTCGCGGTTGCCGCACTCAGCCTCCTCGGCCATCTCGGGGCGGTGGTAGAGGATGCAGTTGGGCTCGTCGTTATGAGGTGCAACGACAGCGGCGATGGCGCCGCTGGCCAGGTAGATGGTGGGGAAGAAACGCATTTTTGCAACGGCGAATTAGTATGGCTGGCGGTTGGATTCCGTTTTTTTAGAATTTCGATGTCGGATTCGGGGAGGTCAAAAGGTCATCAACACGTCAAAGTCCGTAGCGCCCAGGAACGAGTGAGGCCTGTCGAGTCGGGACGAAGAAAAAGAAAGTCGATTACTGGCTGGTACGTTAAAATTGGTGATGGGGGAAGGGGAGGACAGAACGGAAGATGATTGTTAATGACGATGGAGAGATGGGGAGGAGAGGAGGAAAAAGGAGATGGCACGGGGCAAGCCTTTTTTTGGGTGTGTCAGGTTGACAGCTCTGGTTGGCTGGCAGGTTCGTGTTTGGACCCCTGAAGAGCAGCTGGAAGATGAGTTGTGCTGGCCAGAGGCAGGTTGTTAGGGAGCAGGGAATCACCTAAACACGGGGCCCATCGCACCTGGTACGGCTGTGCAGGCGCACTGTGTGGTGCCCTGCCAGCAGGTGGGGCCTGTCTGAGGTTCCTTTGTCAGATTGGCCCGGGCCTTGCGAAGAGCGAAAATCATCACCGCCAGTCTTATTTTTGGATCGGAAAGAGGAGTGCGCTTGCCCAGTTGGCACTGTGCTGAGACTGCGAATTCTGTAGGTATGTACCTTGCTTTGCTTGCTGGACACGCAGCATGATGACGATGCAGGCGGTCTTTCTAACACCACTCAATTCCGCCTTTGTATAGGACGGACCTTCGTCCACGCTGAACCCATTTCTCTGCTGACTTGAGACAGAATCCAAGCTGAACAACCGCGCGTGCCCCAGGAACTCAGAGGCCTCTAAGTTCGTAGTAGCCCTTGGGCTCACTCAGCCCTTCGTGTCTGTGCATGTTAGCATGTGCGCCTCTTTGAGTACTTACCTGGATCCAGCAAGGTCAGCTCGCGAAGCCAGCTCCACCTCATGTCAGCGTCAGCATGGAATGGGCTCGGTCTCTTGGGTCGTGGCTGTGTAGTTGTGGCAGATGCGATGAAATTGTGGCTGTTGAATTTCCTTTCAATTCAGAGGACGAGCCGATCAGCGCTATCAGTACTCCATGTGACGGCAGACGCACTGGTGATGTTGAGAATCTTGGACTACCTACCTACCTAGTTGGGTAACATGGTGATTGATGTCATCGCATTGCATGACCGACACAGAATCATGTCCCTGGTCATGCCCCTACCCTTCCGCGGAAAGCGTGGGACCAAAACGCAGCGCCAGTCTCTGATGTTCAAGCCATGGAGTCAAGGTTCTTTGACTGCCAATGGTAACCCCTAATACCAGTAAATAAAAACATGGTCTGGAGTATATGATTTTCCGATTCCCAACTACTATACTCTCTCGACCTTGGTTGCTGTGAGGAATATTGAGATCTGGGGGGACAGTCTCATGTCTCACTCAGCTCCACGGCTTAGCTACCCTAAAGCTAGCTCCAACGAAAACAACCCTCGAGTATGAATGCGCTGTTGCAGAGTACATATCTGGACCTTGGTGATCTCCCAGTTTATTATGTCAAACTGTTGAGGGAGGACAATTCGATAAGAGGTGGGTGGTGCAGGAATGGCTGTTATCAGAGTCTCGATCATCAGTTCGTCACAGGTTTGGATCGGGGGGGCGCCGCAATGAGAAACATGGCGAGTGTCGCATCGTCGCTAGCATACGTCACCACTGCGCCAGCCGGTGTTTTGGTGTCCATTAAGGCAGGTCATCAACTGTGGCAATATCGTGGACGGGCTGCCTACCCGTCGCATAACACTCTATAAATTGATCCGGTTTCAGCAACTCCCGCTGGAATCCTGCAAACTTCAACCATTCATCTCACCAGATCACCACCTTCAGCGCATTCAGCTTCACGCGCCATCAAAGCCCTTTTACACAGAAATATCACAGTCGCCAAGATGCCTCTCGTCGATTCCCAGGCAACCGGAGACAAAAATGTCGAGTGGCAGAACAAGCTCGTCGGCAAGACTCTGCATGAGGAAGAGACAACTGAGACTGTAAGTTCACTCACAGATGAGAACAAGTTGCGCACTTATCCTGGCCGGGACTGACAAGAAAATCCTGCAGACATTCTCCAAGAAGGAACTACCAGAGAAGCACCGCATCGTCAAGCCTGGCCAGATGATGACGAGAGACTTCCGCGTTGATCGCCTCAACGTCCATGTGAATGATGACAACATTGTCACCAAGGTCAACTTCGGTTAAGCGAGGGAGGTGTGTTGGGAGTAGCTGTCGGTTGCTCAGTTGATGTGTACATATGTCGGTGATAGACTATAATCTCAACCAAGTGCAGGCCTTGTGCCCGCGTGTTTCTCTCGTGATTTCTCCCGCAGCGAATTGAGTTCCATGATGTCTTCCCCTCCTGTTGGTCCGCCAGCTCACGGTGAGCTCGGCCCTGCCAGTGGTAAAGTGGTGCCACAGGAGGTACTTGTGCTTGGGCTGGTTTTGGGAAGCGGAATTGGTACCTCTGCTACCCCGCCACGGAATACGGCCATCGCGGGGCACTTTGCTCCCCTCCACCCCCACCATCCAGACTTTTGTTCAACAGAGACGCGTGCAACGTTTCCCAGCTTCGAGTTTCCGGCGTCTAAACAGCTCACCCGAGCTCAACACCGCCAAAATGTTCAAGAAGGAGTATGTCTCTCCCGTAAATTGACCATCGTCCCAGCTACGTTACTGACCATGTTTCTGCCCCACCTTGCAGAATCAACCCAGCTCCCAAGCAAAAACTCAAGTCGTCAGTCCAGCGGTCGCTGCGACAAGCCCTGCTGTCGACGTACCCGCTTATGACGCCCTACATCGATGAGATCCTCCCCAAGAAGAGCTCTCTCGAGAGCATGAAGCTTCCCGACCGCAATACCCTCTACGTCCTGGACAACGTGCCCTTGTTCTACCAGCAGGACACCGGCGAGGTTATGCCCCACCTCCGTCTCGTCCATCGCTTCCCCCAGGCTTTTCCCACGATACGGATTGATAGGGGTGCCATTCGATTCGTCCTCAGTGGGGCTACTCTGATGGCTCCTGGCCTGACGAGCAAGGGAGGCAGGCTGCCTGTGGAAGGCGCTGCTCCCAAGCTGGAGGAGGGGAAGGAGCTGGATCAGAAGGTCGACGAGGACGGCAGGTGGAGTCGGGAGCTGGAAAAGGGAGAGCCCGTCGTCATCATGGCTGAGGGCAAGGAGGAGGCCTGCGCTGTCGGTGTCTTGGTTGCTGGGACTGCCGAGGTCAAGGCCAAGGGCAAGGGGCCTGTCGTCGAGGATGCGCACTTCCTCGGCGATGGTCTGTGGAATTTGGGCACCGAGTGATGAGATGGCGGGTTCGTTTCGCTGTACATGTTCAGATTGAATAGGACGAAATCATAAAGCGTTTGTTTGCAGTTCAAGTAAGGAATATGTCCTTATATGCCAGCGATTCTAGCCCGCTGTCTGGGCAACAAAGAATCCGATGAGCACCAAAAAGCTAGGCTCGTTTACATCAACATTAGACGAGGCGATAGAATAGATCTCTCCACGTATCTGGGCATCTGTAGACCATGTGTCGGTCTGGATTATCCAGCCCTAATCTTGTGCTATGGTCAGGGTCGTGTTAGCAAGGTGTTGGTTGATATGGAATGTCTGTTTTATTTGCTGATTAAGGTATAAAATATGTTTAACTTAATAGAGGCTAATAACGGGTGTTCATACCAACATCAGGTATATTTATCTCTAATAAATAACCTTAGCTTGGGGTGGTGTACGGACTTCGCCACATCTAGATTCAACTGATATGTAACTATCCAGGCAACCATTGATCTTATAGCTGGCTAACATGAAAGATAAGGAGCCCTTCACGCCTGGAATGAAGCAGGATCTATTATTATCACCTGGTAACTTGCTGCCTTGTAAGTTGATGTGTGGATGGGAGAATCAGCCCCAGGCGCCAGCATTTAGATACCCCTGCTCAATGTTAGCCTTAGACTGTGTGGTTGGGCTGCTAAACCGCTAGGCACCACTATAACAGCGTGTAGGCTGCCCTGTAAAACGAAACAGCACTGCTCCGCCTCCTCTAAATGCCATCTAGCGCCAAACTCTGGTTCAGCTCAGGTCTTGGACAAGCCGCTGGCGTCGACGTGTGAGTCTGTCGCGACGCCTCGGCTGGTGCTTAAAAAGTCTAGGCCGTCCGCTCTGCATTTGATTGCCGCTGCGAAGATCATCGCCGTTGTGTCAAACTGTGTTTCACTATGGCTACTACCTTCAATGTGAGCCCAGAGGCCGCTCAGGCCACTATCAAGGCCGCCCTTCACGACCGCATCCTCGGCTGTCTGTTTGGCTCGGCCCTTGGCGATGCCATCGGCCTGTACACCGAGTTCCTGTCGACGGACATGGCCGTTCACTCATACACTGACCGCAAATTCACCCTTCTCCCCAAGGACCAGGCAACTCAGTTCCGCCATGACTCGCACCGTGCTCCCCATCTTCCCGGAGAGTGGACTGACGACACGGACCACGCCATGCTGATACTGCTCGCCTATCTGCACGTGGATGGGAAGGAGCTCGACCCCAAGGAGTTCGCCTCGAGGCTGAGCATCTGGGTGCAGCAGGGCCTGAGGGCACTCGACACCCTTCCCCTGGGCCTGGGCAGGACCGTGGGCGCCATTGTGAGGAGCAAGGCGTACCTCGAGGCCCCCGAGGACACCGCGAGACACCATTGGAAGATCTGCAATTACAATGCCGCCCCGAACGGTAGTCTGATGCGCACCCATCCTCTTGGCCTCATGTGCTTGAGCAAGACCCTCGAGGAGACGTTCGAGGTCGCCGCCTCGTACTCCGTCATGACTCACGTCGATCCACGGTGCATCATCTGCTGCGCTGTCGGCACGGCACTGGTCCGCGGCCTGACTCTGGGAGAGATCCGCGGCGAGGGCGGGATCGACGACGTCGCCAAGAAGGCGCTGGAGTGGTGGGAGAAGTACCGGGAGGGCCAGATGAAGGACGAGAGCCGCAAGGACGAGCCGGATCTCGACCGCGACGAGTTCTGGCGCCACGTCAGGGTGGACGACTACGCCGACCTGGAGCTCGGCCAGGGCTGGAAGATTGGCTACGTTTACAAGTGCTTCGGGGCGGGGGTCCATGCCCTCCGTCTGGCGTTCAGGACTCTTGGGAGCCGACCCAAGACGCTCCACAATGAGATGAGCATCTTCGAGCCTCTCATCACAGACCTCATCATGTGGGGTGGAGATGCGGATACGAATGCCTGCTTTGCGGGTGCGCTCCTAGGATCTTTCCTTGGATACAAGAACCTGCCCACACACTGGCGGGATGGTCTGACCCACGGGGAGTGGCTTCTTGAGAAATCTGAGTCTCTATGTGCGGTGGTTGGGGTGGTCGACATGTGGTACAGTGGTCCGGATGACAAGGATACAGCGCCGGACGGCGGCAGAGGCTTCATAACGCCGCATGAGATGGAAGGCAAGGCTATGCTTCTACAGGCTCGGATGGTCGAGCGGGAACGGGAGTGGAAGAGAAAAGAGGAGGAGAAGAAGAAGGGCGGATCAAGTTGGTTTGGGTGGAAGTGAGGATTGGTTTCAATCTTGTTCAGCATCTAAGCGGGTTATTTCCTCAAGGAGGAGCGAAGTGTTTGACAATGAGTTGACGAAGTACATTAGCGTTTCTTGACATTCTGCATATCTATTCAATTATTCATAAGCCTGAACAAGGGTTATCGTGCCGGCAGTTGAAACTACCCGAGTGTGCTCTGCCGCACCAGTAGAACTTGAGCCACAGCCCTGCCCTCTAACTTGGCACCTGTCGATCTGTCACCGCACCCCATGGAATTATCGGTTAATCTTGCGAGCTAGCACGAGTTCCCCAGGGGATGATATTCCCAATCTTCATTGGCGGGGAAAGACGAAAACGCTCGATGCGACGTGGGTCTGTGCATTCAACCGCCGTGTCCCCTCACAACATTGCCTTCCTAAGAAGGACCGGTCTTAGGAGACCTCGCCCGGTGGGAGAGCCAATGCCGAAGGCGATGGAATGAATGCTGATGTGGAGAGTGATGCGGAGAGTGATGCTGGTTTCTAGACGCACCACTTACACCTCGTGGTCACATTGCAAGGCGACCCGTTCGGCATATGCAAGGAACATTCGCAGAATATGTCGAACATGTGTGGAAATTACGTCGCCTTAAGCATAATTTGAGGGCCTCTCAGACTTATTTAATGTGCTTATGAACCCGGACAAGTTGCTCGCTCGTCTAGTCTGGCTAAGTCTCGACTTCAACATATTATTTGATAACCTGAAACCAGCCATGTATCAGATGTTTGGCACGGGAAAGCTTGCCGGGAGTGTTTCTGTTGCTCTTGGGCTGCTGAGCTTTCTCAGCAACATTGCAACTGTATCTGCCCATGTATCACAGGCCACCGACGAGATTGGAGTCCTAGCTTACGGCTTCGATTTGAGCGAGGTTCGGCTCACTGACGGCCGCTGGCTGGAAAACCAGGAGAGGACATTGACGTACCTCAAATGGGTCGACACTGAGCGTTTGCTCTATAACTTTCGCTCAAACCATGGCCTTGATACACAAGGCGCAGCTACCAATGGTGGATGGGATGCGCCAGACTTCCCTTTCCGCACTCACGCTCAAGGCCATTTTCTCACCGGCTGGGCACAGTGTTACGCTGTCCTCGGAGACGAACAGTGCCGTGACCACGCCACACACTTTGTGGCCGAACTTGCCAAGTGTCAGGCGAATAATGAGGCGGTCGGGTTCAACGCTGGATACTTGTCAGGCTTCCCCGAGTCGGAGATCGCGAAGGTCGAGAACCGTACGCTGAGCAACGGAAACGTGCCGTACTACGCGATCCACAAGACTCTTGCTGGCCTGCTCGACGTGTGGCGCTATGTGGGAGACGAGACAGCCCGTGATGTGCTTCTCGCCCTGGCCGGCTGGGTGGAGTGGCGAACCGGCCAGCTGTCCTACGACCAGATGCAGGCCATGATGGCTACGGAATTCGGTGGGATGAACGAGGTCCTGGCAGATGTCTACCACCAGACCGGAGACGAGCGATGGCTGAAGACTGCCCAGAGGTTCGACCATGCTTCTATTTTCGACCCCTTGGCCGCGAACCGGGACGAGCTCAATGGGCTGCATGCCAACACCCAAGTGCCCAAATGGATCGGTGCCGCCCGTGAGTTCAAGGCCACGGGAACCCAGAGGTACCTGGATATTGCCAAAAACGCCTGGGACTTTACCGTCAACCAGCACACCTATGCCATTGGCGGCAACAGCCAGAGCGAGCACTTCCGAGCTCCCAATGCCATCGCAGCGTTCTTGAATAAAGATACGTGTGAGGCATGTAACACCTACAACATGCTCAAGCTGACTCGTGAGCTGTGGCTCTTGGATCCCTCGGACTCTTCATACTTTGACTACTACGAGCGTGCCTTGATCAACCACCTTATCGGGCAGCAGGATCCCTCTAGCAGCCATGGACACATCACGTATTTCACGCCCTTGAACCCCAGTGGACGTCGTGGAGTCGGCCCAGCTTGGGGAGGTGGTACTTGGAGCACGGATTACGACAGTTTCTGGTGCTGCCAAGCCACTGCGCTGGAGATCAACACCAAGCTCATGGACTCCATCTACTTCCATGATGACAGCACGCTCTATGTCAACCTGTTCACTCCTTCTCAGGTTACTTGGTCGGCTCGCAGTGTCATCGTCAACCAGACTACGACCATTCCTGAATCTGACACCGCCACGTTCTCGATCGAGGGATCGGGCGAGTTTGCTATCGCACTACGCATTCCGTCCTGGACCAGCAATGTTGAGATCCAGGTCAATGGCTCTCCCGTCTCCGTGGAGGCAAACCCTGGATCATACGCTACCATTTCACGATCCTGGGCAAACGGCGACGTCCTGACCGTGAAGCTTCCCATGGCCTTGCACACTGTCGTGGCCAACGATGACTCCTCGGTGGCGGCAGTTGCATACGGCCCGACAATCCTCGCCGCCAACTACGGGGACCGCACCTTGTCTGCGGTACCGGAGCTTGATCTGGGTACTGTGAAGCAGGTGGAAGGGCTGAGCTTCGAGGGTACAGTTGGTGGGGAGACGGTTTCTCTTGGGCCATTCTATGATGCTCACGGCTTCAACTACAATGTGTATTGGAAGATCAGTGGCTCGTTCTAAATGGTAGAGCCTAGGACTTGGGAATGGATCAGTGGGAGCGAGACATGAGATGATATAGTTGATAGTAGTTCTCATTCCAGCTTTCTGGAAGGCAAAAAAATGTTGTTCTAATGGCAGGCTCCAGCAAGAATCTACCTTGATATAGTGATACATAGATGACACAACTGCTCACTCGGACCCGGCTTATGTGAATAAGCAATTGCTCTGGTCGGTTTTGACCACTTTGTCGAGATTTGTCCCTAAGAGGCCGGCTCTTTTAATCCATGCCTAGATACAAAAAAAACAGTTGGTCAGTGCTATGTGACTGGCCGAGGGAATGATAGAAGAAACACAACTCACATCGATCACACTATCCTCCAATTGTTGTTGACGACTTAGGATAAAGAGGGTGGAAAAATTGTTCGACTGAACAAGAGCTATGTCGTTGGCATAATCTGCAACTCTAGAGTATCAGTACAATTGATGAGATAGACACCCGGCAGGACTGCCAAAGTCAAGAGATCAATGTGACTCTCCACTCTGCATGGTTACCTTGAACAATATAGTTGGGACCAGGGCATTTTGGCCCCGGCTGACCAGGGAACTGCACCCGAAAGACGCCCTTGGTACCGTACGCGGCGGAGGCAGGCGAGGCAGTACCCAGGATATTGCTGGCCTTGCCATTGGCCTCGCAGGAGTTGTTGACCTGGACCGTCCCGTCGCTGTTGAGAGCGTACTCGGCATTGATGCACTTGCAGTTGGCCGTGAATGGGGCGAGCGTCCCTGCGACCTGGTACCAGCGACCGAGATAGGAGTCAATCTGGAAGCCATCGTCGCCTTTTGGATAGGAGCAGTGGCCATCCCAGAGGGAAGGGACGACGGATAGAGTGCTGTTGGTCGCCGCGACGGCCGCGGCTGTGGCTGCTCCGAGGACAATCTGTGGGCGCATAGTGATTGTGATGATGATGAATCTGTAGGAATTGATGTTCTCGCGCGGTTGATTGTTTGTCTAGCTGAAGGGATGGCACTTGTTTGCTTAAACTTTGGCGGAGCGTCCCGTCCCGTCTCTTATGTATGTACTCTCTGCTCGAGGGACCGAGGCTGGGCTCAGGTGAATCATGTCTCGCACAAGGCCATGGCCCGAAGCCCGACAGGCAACTGCAGCATGTCCGTGTGTTACTGATGCTCCCATCTCCACAGAATGCAATTCGCATTACCATCTGGGAGAGGAATGACAGAGCAGGGATAAAGTGGTGACGCCATTACGGTCTGCTCACCTCCGCGTTTGGGGTAGTTTCGGGCTTGGCTCTGCACTACGGAAGCCAAGATCGAACTTTGGACAGAATGTCGATCAGCGGTCCGGAAATCGATGCATGAGTGGGAAGCCCATCCTCTGGATCGTGCCGATGGGAATTACCCGCGGTCTGGGCAATTGAATTGCCGTCGCCAAGAGGTTGGGATCTAAGGCCTGCTGAATGAAGCTCCGATCATAAATCTTAGACGTATGGGGAGAGCACCTGAAGAAAGGGGAATTTTGAGAATAACCAACCCAGAGAAGAACGTGGAAGATAAACTGATCAGAGGCCCTCCTTATGCTTTCAGATGGCGTATTTTATCTCGGATGTGAAAGACCTGACCACCGTACAACACGTGTTAGGTCAACTGAACATTCTTACCAGGCTCAAAGAGTGCAAAAACCAGCTGGAGCCCAAGGGTTAAGAAATATTGGCTATTTTTCTTCCACTTGTGGCTCAAGAATTGTGAAACTGGGCAGTTTGCGTATCTGAGTAGATTAGTTGAACGGGGATCTTCCAGCCCCTTCAATTTACCACCTCATGGCTATGATCTATCTCGACTGCTGCGACGGAGGGAATACTATCGACAGACTTATAATGCATATACTTGAATTACGCAAAGAATCAATGTAGATTTTCCCGGTATAATTCCCGGTATACATGACTTCCATTCTCACTTGAGGGCATCCCAGACCTGACAATTTGTGCAGAAGAAGCGTATCATGACTTGAGAGCTTTTCTAGATGGAGAACTCAAGTAGTTCTATAGAAAGAGACGAAGACAACACACTACTAACGCGTTGGGAGCTACAGAAAACACTCATCACAGCGGGAACAAATGGTCGAATGATGGTGATTCTTGTCGTAACGAAGGATGTTGTGGCTGCAAAGGGGAATTTCTCATATGCCAACACCTTATTTGGGCTGAACTGATGCTTGTGTATCTTCCAGGACTGTCAATGAAAGACTAAACTTGACAATGGGACGACTGTCGGCCAGTCTGAAATATCCGATGGGGCCACAAGACTCCGCATAGTATTCAAGTTTTTACTATGAGAATGAGCTTTCGACTGGTTACATAGCTGTGCGACGGTGCCACGTAGACGGCTGCCTGACGCAAGCCATAGTTCCTTGCAAGAGCGTGCGCCTTACCTCGTCTCTGACCGCCGATGTTTTTGGCGCGTTCTACTTTATGGAGAGAGTCAGGAGACTAGTCAGGCGCACACTGCAAAGGGAACACAAAATGGGGCCGTCCAGAAGGCTCGCATATACAACTCAGAGCCCGGGCGACAAATACGTCCCTTGACCCCTCTCTCCCATCTTGTGTCACCACCCTCAAGCAACTCTCCGGGAGCGGTGTGCTCTTTGGAAGACATCTAACCTAAATCAACAAACGACGCCTTATGCCCGTCGATGCCTTCTCCCGTTGTTGTGGAAACTGCCAACTCAGGCCCTTCTAAAGAAGCACCATGTCGACGTACTGAAAGATGCCGTCCCTGTGTACACCCACAATGCCATACTCACCTGATACCATGTCGTGCAACACTAAGAGTGCGATAGAAGTCCCATCGTCCTCGTGACCTTCTGAGAAATGCATCTGTAGCCGGCTTGTTGCTCAGAAGTTGCTCAGAATAGGCTGGAGTGAGATGCTGGTGGCAAACCTGCATAGAAGATTTCGAGAACCTCCACACCATCGGAAGCAAGTTCCCAATTTGTAACTAACACTCTCTAGGAAACACTCACCGCCTCTCGATATCGGTTGAAACTGCTCTCGGAGCCTGGACGCGGCTATCCGCTTGACTGCCTTGCACCGCCGAAGGTGGGGGTTGTGAGTGGTCGTTTCTTGAGAATCCTGCTCAGTCTTGACGCAGGAGAAGAATGCATTCCTGCCTTATCTCTTGGATCGAGGCAATGCGGTTATTGAGTAGGCTGCCCCGACCAAAGCTACCGGATTGAAAAGGGCCCGAGTATCCCCCATCCGCACTTCTTTCATCCCTACTCTCTTCATCAGCACCCTGATTTATCTTTAGCCGCTGTGCAAACTTCCATCTTGAATCGTCCCATTGTATCAACAAGAGGTCTGCTGACACACACACGTCATGTTTTCTCCTACTCCCCTCCACACCGGAGCTGGACCTGATCAATCCATTCCACAAGGCTCCAGAATTTCTTCTTCAGACTGGCGTACAGAATCTCCTCGTCTCACCCCGTCTCCCTTCCACTCACACCAAGCCACTGTTCAAGCTATGAGAGCTCCAGTAACCCCCTCTCAGGACGTCACCCCAGAATATCAAAGCATGATAAAGGGCATGGTGGCCGATGCTGTTCGGGATCTGCTTTCGGGCAATGGCGCATCTTCTCTTACCTCAGAACTTGGCAATGAATGGAGTCTTCCAGAGAGCACACGTTCCTTCCAATCTCCCTTGGTAGCAGATCTCATCGATCATCAGCTCGCCAATCGCCTTATTTTGCGTGGAGATTTCGCTTCTCCAGATAGCCACAATGCCTCTCCTTCACCATCTCTGCACTTATCCCCTTCATACCCTGGCAACAGTAAGCATCACTATGATTTCTCGGAGCTCCCAGCTTCACCAACGAGCAGTTACTCAACTACCGGAGGTTATCACGCAGGCATCATTGGCATGGGCCCTTCTCCTACCCACCCACGCATCGACGGACAACCCGACGATCTTTATACCCCGAGGTCAATGCTCTCAATGCTCCCCTACTCGGTGACGAATTCGAATGAGAGACCTGGAAATTCATTCGCACATAAGCATATGCCAACCTCGCACCCCAATGAGCCTCGTGCCCAGGAGAAGCCAAGGACTATGCCATCCAGCCGCACCTTTATCGATCAAGATGAAGAAGTGTCCCAGCGAATGCGAGCTTTGAGAGTAGCATTCGATGCCCCCCCTTCATCTACCTTGGCCACACGTATGGTTTCTCCATCCACGTCCGGACCCTCCACGTCTTATCACCTGGGTCCTCCCACACGGACCGATTCTTCTGGATATCAGGAACTTCCAAACTTGTTCCTTCGATCGGCCGACCCCATCATGCCCCCAACTCAGTGTTTCCGTCCAATGTCAGCAGTTCTCGAGGCGAAATTCAATCCTCAAGCACTTCCCTTCTCACAAGATGGCACCGGCAGCCTAGGCATGCAATCTAGATTCTCTACACGCTACCTCGGCAAGCACACCGAGAAGAATGCCAGCCAGGATCATCTGGCGAATCATGAGAACTGCTCCTTGTGGCTTAGAAACCTGCCACCCAACATCACCTATGCCGAGCTCCTCGACACCATTTCTGGCATTGGTCGCGTCTGGGCCACCTACATCAATAGGCCTGATGCAAGGCACGATACCGCCGCCGCCAAAGTCATCTTCTTCAACCCAGAAGCTGCAGCAAAGTACCTGAAACACATCGAGTCGACCAATCTTCAAATCCGAGGGCTTGCCGTCACAGGTGAGTACAACCGGGTCAAGATCCCACGCCAGCTATCAGGAGGTCCGCAGGCTTCTAGAGTTCTTGTCATAACTGGCCACGCCGACTTTGTGAACAAGGATAGCTTGACCAGATTCTTCGGGGACCTGATTCAGTTTCACACCGACCGGGTTATTGAGCGGTTTCGCGTCGGCACGCGGGCAGTGATCGAGTTTCGGTTTGGAAGCTACCGCTCCCAGGCCCAGAGCGCCAAGACAGCACTGGAAAGGAACCAGCCGAGCGGTCTTGTGTGTGTTCGGTATGGCCTGGACCCATGTGAGGTGGGAGAGACACCTTTTTCTAATGAGCCTGGCAGCGAGTGAGCTTCCTCAGAGGTGAAGTAGCTTGGTCCGCAGCAGGCAGAGTCCATACATGTACTGACAGCAGCATGGGGCAGTCCGGTCTGGAAGCTCTCGGCGGTTGTCTTGCTTTGGGGGGATCTTTTATTGATATATTGATGATTTGGGTGGGTATGATTCGTGTGTCTAGAGCAGCTTGCTCGTGGTGACGGATAAGTCAACGAGAATGTTTGCCGTCATACATCAATGTTTGTTCGTTGGGCTACGTTTCAGCGTTCAGAGTGGTAGGCCGGGCCTATTCATCTGGCACTACATATTGACACTGGGACATGAGAGCAAGTAGACAATGTAACACTCATTCATTTTCATTAGTACTTGGAAAATAAGTGCCATGACTTGTCTGAACGGTAGAGATTTTTGCCAACGTACGTTGACCTCCCTCGGCGTCTCTCGAGCAACACGATTTTCCAGCTGAGCAGTTCCTTGGAACTGTTGCACCTTTCCACGTAGTACGGTCCCTGTGGCGGCGCCTCTGTGTATCGTTCGGGAAATCATTCGGGAAGAGACAGGCCAATGCTTGAGGCCGGGAGGCTTTACGTGCGGGGCGCCACGAAAAGTCGGAGCTGGAGGTTCATGAACGTCAGCCAAGGATCGAGTCATGACAACCCGAAAACAAGTTGTCTGCAGGTTCCCTCTGCATCCAGTGTCCAACAGAGCTCGAGTTGGACAATATGGCCTCCCTTCAAGACCGGCAAGACCGGCAAGCTGGGCAGATTCGTAGCATTGAGCTGCCGAGTGTGTCTCACTTGTTCGATTCCACGCCTCAGTGTATGATCCACACTTCTCTTCCCCTATCATACGCTTGTGTGTTCTTATGCGCAATAGTCTGGTATATTGGAGTAGTTTTTCAGAATTAAAGAAGCCGGATTCCGAAGACTGCCGGAGGCATGTGGCACAGATGAGCTCGTATACTGCGCTGGAGCGGCCTCGTTCATGTTGTGCCCACCGAACATCGGCCTAGAGGTCTATCTAAATTTATTGCACTTTCATCCAGCTTCGAACTATTCGATGTGACTATGATTACCTATGATTGTTATTATTTCTGTGGTTGTTTAGGGTAGGCGGCATGACGACGCAGTTATTTTTACCTAGGTACCTAGATAGAAAGACTCAACCCAGGTATTTCCGTTCTGCTTGATCCACGCTATAACAGGAAAAGCAATCGGGCCTTTAGCGTTGTATCTTAGTTGGTAAGGCTGGATCTGCATATAAGGACCTTTGGTCAATTATGCGGGCAAAATAACATGCTGCTGGGTATCTCCCGGCTGCTCAGCCACCAGTGATTCAGTGAATAGCTGCCTGCTATCGTCAATAGTCCGCGTCTAGCAGTTTGTCTGTCCCTGTGGCGACGCTGTATTCAACGTGGCTATAGTAGGGCCAAGTGCCGGTCAGCAGCATGTGGCTGAAATAGAACGGCACACTAAATCCTCTTAGCCTGTGCCACACTAAATCTCACCTGCTTGGGGCCTAAGATCTAGACTAACGGTGGTACGGGCCCTGGGCGTTGTCCTAAAATAGCACCGCTTCGGCTCCGTTATTTTTACGCTCCGTTGCTATTCTCTCAGAGGCTCAGCAGCTCTCCTCATTCAAGCAAGGAAAAGAAAGTCTAGCGCAGCACTGCCATCTCACCTTTTTCTGTCAGCACCACCCGCGATCATCATCAGCGGACCTTGACCGGACGTCCTGTCCTGGCCTATACGGCTGCTAATTTCCCAACCTGCCGTACGACCTTGGCCGTGAGCTCTCTGTCCAGTCCAGATGCCGGACCGACGCCACTGTTCATGCTGGCTAGCCACACCGCAACGGAGCTGGTTGTTGGGGCTGCTGTGGCCGTAGGCCAAACTGTGTGTGACGGTTGGCAACATGAAACACACTTGCCTTCTACCCGTATCTTGGCCAGTGCCCTTGGTCTCTGTCGCCCGAAACGTCATGGTCAGCCAGGCGCTACGGGAAGAATGATAGACCACGGTGCCCCCTGACTAGGCACAACCCATCCCTACCTTGGTTCCCTGTGGAAAGGCCATCTTGTGAGCCTCTTCACCGTCGATGAGAGGCCCATCCCATACGCAGGGGCAGACAAGCCACCCCAAGACTCTCGGCTAAAGCTCCTTGGCCGTAGATCGCGAACAAGGTCACCCATGCCGTTGCCCAATCAAGAAGTAAGTGGATCATAGGCGCAGGCTCTCCTATTCACAGCCGCCAGTATTACTATGTAGATCCATGGCATTGTGCTTCCATCTGGTGGAGACCACGGCTCAACTCAACCCAAGATGTTGGGGCAGTCAGTGTAATAATAGAAGAGGAAGAAGGGGTAAAGGTGATAGATCGCAAGTTTCTGAGAAGTTAAATACTCTCCTTCTTGTCTCTCAAATCTGTCGGTCCCAGCCCAGGATCACCATCCAGCTTCTTTCTTCTTCGCCTTTTTAATAATTCAGCATCTTTTTTCTTCACATTTTCTTTGTATCTGATCCGGTTTCTATTCCGTTTCTTAGACTTCACGGTTCATACATTCTCAATATCTCATACTACCAACTACCATCGTCAACATGCGTCCTTCTACCCTTCTGGCTTTCCTCCCCCTGGCCATGGCTGCCCCTTCTCCCGCTCCCCTCAAGCGTGATAGTCCTGCTCCTCTCATCACCCCCCGCGGCAACAAAGGCGTTCCCAACAGGTTCATCATCCGGATGGTGGATGGCATCAAAGAGAGTTCCATGTCTTCCTCTATGAAGTCCCTCAAGACCTCATCACACTTCAAGTACTCCAAGAGCTTCAACGGATTCGCTGCCACGTTAGACGAGGATCAGCTTGCAGCTATCCGAGAGAACCCCAATGTAAGTTGAATAATAAACACGGCCCTTTTCTGCCTCCTCCAGCCTTGATTCTGGAGACTCACAAGTACATAGGTCGAATACATCGAACAGGAACAAGTCATGCAAATCTACGAGACCCAGCAGGACGCTACATGGGGCATTTCCCGACTTTCCTCCCAGACACCAGGTGCTACCACCTACAGCTACGACGCGGCCGCCGGTGAAGGTACATGCGCATACGTCCTTGACACTGGCATCGATGTCGCCCACCCTGAGTTCGAGGGCCGTGCCACCTGGGCCGCCAACTTCGCCTCCGGTAATAGCACTCGTGATGTCCAGGGCCATGGCACCCATTGCGCCGGTACCATCGGTTCCAAGACCTACGGAGTCGCAAAGAAGACCAAGCTCTTTGCTGTCAAGGTGCTTGGCGATGATGGCTCCGGCACTACCTCTGGAGTAGTTGCTGGAATGGAATGGGTTGTCAAGAATGCCGACAAGTCGAAGTGCCCTAATGGTATCGTCATCAACATGTCGCTTGGCGGTAGCTACTCACGTGCTATCAACGATGCTGCCGCCGCTATTGCTGACTCTGGATTCTTTCTTGCCGTCGCTGCTGGCAACTCCGCCGTCGATGCCAGCACGAGCTCTCCTGCTTCCGAGCCCAAGGCCTGCACCGTTGGTGCCTCAGACTCCTCGGACAAGATCGCCTACTTCTCCAACTTTGGCAAGCTCGTCGACATCTTCGCTCCCGGTGTCAAGATCGAGTCCACCTTCCCCGGTGGGAGGACCAAGGTCATGAATGGTACTTCCATGGCCTCTCCCCATGTCGCTGGTCTCGGTGCCTACCTCCTCAGCATTGGCCAGAAGGCTGACGGCCTCTGTGACTACATCGCCAAGACTGGTCTCAAGAATGCTATTTCTGGTGTCCCTAATGGCACCGTCAGCACTCTTGCCAACAATGGCTTCTCCGCCCAGTAATTGTACTGTTTTTTTCTTTTTCTTCTCTTGTCGCGATGACAAACTTGCTTTCTTCCATCATGAACTTGGAAGGAACATGTTTTACTATGATGCCATAATTAGATATAGAAGTGCATTGCCACCGCGGGTTGTTTTTGGGTTCGGATATTAGAATTAGATATGTTTTGTTTCCTGTCTCATATTTCCGCCTTTGGGCTTTTCTTTAATTGAGATGTCTAATTCAATATTATTCTAATCTTCAAGTTTCACCGTAATACTTGACTTCTGTCTGTGTCAGCGGCTTCCGCTAGAAGCTGTCGACATATCACTTGGGATCCCTTAATCTCCACCACCCTGCAGTCAATATATGATGAGTTCAACCGAATACTGTCGTACTTTAATACCCAATCATGTTTGCATGCGTACACCATCAAAGTGCACTTTTCGCAGGCGGGGTCACATGACTGCAGACCACGTCAGAGTGTGCCTTGCGCTGAGCCTTGACCTGGCAAGCTCGTACTGCTGAGAACATCACCACTTTGCAACCAAAACTTCGAGTCTGCAGACATTGTATTCGTATGCCATGTGGCTGATAAACGTGCATAGCTACGCTCTCGAGGAGTTCCTCGGCGAAGGAGAGACTCCGCCGTACGCAATTCTCTCCCACATGTGGTCGCGGCCAGCGAGCGCCGAAGTCACGTTTCGAGAAATGCGCGAAGACCTCGCTTCTGCGCAATCGAAGCCGTGCTTTATGAAGATATTCCACAGCTGCGTTATTGCCAAATCGCATGACTTGTCTTGGGTTTGGATCGATACGTGTTGCATCGACAAGACGAGCAGAGCGGACCTCTCTGAAGCCATCAACTCAATGTACAGATACTACCGGGACTCGGCGGAGTGTCTCGTGTATTTGGCTGATGTCTCATTTCATCAACCTGGAGTCCCTCGGGCCAAGAAACTTGAAGCCGTGGGCCAGAGTCGTTGGTTCTCCCGAGGATGGACACTGCAAGAGCTCATCGCGCCCAAGAAGCGCCGTTTCTACGACAACAATTGGGAGGTTATCCCCGGGGGAGCAGATCTATTACAAACCCTCGCCCAGGTTGGGAACTTGCCGGTTACAATCTTGGAGAGCCGAGACCAGTTGCTAAATATCAGCGTTGCAAACCGCATGGCCATGGCTTCAAAGCGTACTACAACGCGGGGCGAAGACATGGCTTATTGCCTGTTCGGCATATTTGATGTCAACTTGCCCATTCTTTACGGCGAAGGCGCAAAGAAGGCTTTCCACCGCTTACAGCTGGAAATCATGGCAACAGACGCATTTGACCAGAGCATCTTCGCTTGGTGTGCCGATCGTTCTGACAGCGGGTTGTTGGCCAGTTCTCCTTCTGAATTTGAGAACACGCCTTCTATTCGGCATTTGGTTCCCTCCGCCCATTTCTCCATGACCGATTTGGGCCTCTCGATCAGCTGCGCCCTTGCGTACATGCAAGAAGGGGAGCGTGTAGCTCCCACCAGGTCAGCTGGGAGTTTCCACCATGTGCTTGCGCCACTTCAATGTGACATCGTGGATGATGAATCTTATTACTTATGTCTCTACCTTGAATATGTCACGATATGTCGCTTCATTGTTAATGATAAATGGCTTCCCGCGTATCGTCGTGTAAAGTGTTCGGAATGGAAGCTTATCCCTCGCCAAACTATTGAGCAGCATGCAGTATTAAAGACTATTGTTGTCTTGGAAGACGAGCAATTCAGGCTCCTCCGACATTATTGAAGCATCCACTGCCGAATGGCGGTCGGATCCGTATATTTTTTATGAGGATCGGAAACGCCGGGAAATCGTTGAGACAAGGCAAGTTTGGCAATATGAAGCGAAGGTTTCGTTCAAGGGCGAAATTGTCACAACATCAGCCAATATCGATTCTATCTAGTCAATAGATTTTTTCCCCTTTGAGAATATACTTGATCTGGAATCCCAACCCGCTCAAGACATATCCTCGCCTAAGCTGCTGAAGGAAATGGCCGGATCTCAGCCATTGGAAACCCCCTCATATAAATGTGCAACTTTCAATTCAAAAACCTTCGACTCCAACCATCAAATAGAGCATCACGATCCTCGCTCATCACGCATGAAGAAGCTACAGCAATTAAGCCTGCCACCGCCGAGCCTATACCGAGTGTTTGACCCAGTACGCCTGCGGGTTACACCAGCCCTTCAGCCCAACCTCGCCCCAGTCCATACCCAGGCCGCTCTGCTTGTGGCCTCCGAAGGGCACGTTGGGCGCGAGCTCGAAATGGGTATTGACCCAGATGCTGCCCGCCTCGAGCTGCTCGACCATGCGCTGCGCACGAGGCACGTCCTTGCTCCAGACTGAGGCGCCGAGACCCATCTCTGTTGCGTTGGCGCGTCGGATAACCTCGTCCTCGTCTGTCCACTTGAGAACAGGCACAATGGGCCCGAAAGGCTCCTTGGTCACGATATCGGAGTCGTCAGGAGGGTTGTCGATGATGGTGGCAGGCATGAAGAAGCCCTTGCCCTCCTTCGGGCCAGGAGCGCCGCCGAGCGCCGTCTTCCAGCCCTGCTTCTCGATTTGCGAGTAGAACGCCTGCAGCTTGTCGTACTGCATCTCGTTTTGGATGGGGCCGAAGAAAGCTTCTGCGTCTGTGTGGTCGCCGACCTTGTACTGCTTCGCTGTCTCGACCAGCTTGGCGAGGAATTTGTCATAGATGTTCTCATGCACGAAGATACGCTTGATGTTCATGCAAATTTGGCCGCCATGTACAAATGTCAGGAAGGCGATCTATGTTTCGGTTAGCACACGTCAACCATAGACTTCATCAAGATATCAGAACGGTGTATATACCTTAGCAACAACCGCATCGATATCGACGTCCTCGCAGACAATAGCTGCATCATTACCTCCCAACTCGAGCGTCACGCGCTTAAGAGTTCCGGCGCAGGCGGCCATAATTTTCTTTCCTGTCGCGACAGAGCCAGTGAAACTGACCTTGGCGACATCAGGATGGGCAGTCAACTGGGGGCCCAGACTCTCCTCTCCGCTCAGGGCCTGGAAAACGCCTGGAGGGAAAATCTTGGTACCAATTTCAGCCAACTTGAGTGCTGAGTATGGGGAGTATGGGGAGGATTTCCATATGAATGTGTTGCCCGCAAGAAGAGCAGGGAGGAGCTTGCCAATTCCTAATGTGAGAGGGAAATTCCATGGCACAATTCCTACTCCTACTCCGAGAGGAACATATCGCACAATCGCGGTGCGCTAGGGAAATCAACCGTATTAGTGTGTGTGTTCTTTTGGAATATGCAGAGAAAACCCAAAGCGCCCTTTGACTTACATCCTCGTCGTCAATTGGCTTTTCCTCCTTGATTCGAAGCTGGGGAGTTCCGCGGGCCAGGCCCATGACCAGGAACATCTCAAAGCCACCGGCCCCGGGTGGCTTTCCGACCTCCTTACCAAGAAGGTCAACGAATTCCTGCTGGTTTGCCTCGATGGCATCCGCAAACTTGTTCAGATACTCGGCGCGCTCGTCGTACGAGAGCTTCCGCCAGGCGGGATACGCCGCCTTGGCTGCGCTTACGGCGCGGTCCACGTCTTCTTGAGTTGAGACTGGCACCTCCCACAAAGGCTCCTCGGTGCTCGGGCAGATGGCCCGGCGCGTGGCTGCTGTTGATGTCAACTCATTGTTGATGACATTGTGGAACGTCTATATCGAGTCAGCCATCGGCCGATCAGGTCACCGAAACTAGAGAGTAGTTCCACTTACATCAAAAGAGACTTTGTAATCTGTTGCGGACGCCATGATGGGTCTCTTGGCAGTCTAATGTAGGGGCTGGCTATTAAGAGCGATAGTTTGTATCCAGAGAGAAATTATAGCAAGAAAAATCAGGCCGGGTGAGGGAAACCAAGAGCGGATGAGCGTCCTTTTGGCCAATTTTACCTTGTCGGTAAGACGTCTGCTTTCATGGTGCATCTACGGACATTGTATGCCTACTACCCTGACCCACCCAACGTGGTGGAGGAGGTCGTATCGTTCGTGGATGAAAGCGGGCTCAACCCGGTCGCGGACAGGGTTTTGATCTAGTCTATACTGCTGGTTGCTTCAATCTCATCCTCCAATTTGAACTTTAGTGCAGTTTCAGCAGGGGCCACGATGCAGTTGGTCCTAGTAGCCGGCCCTTCTAGTTCTAGAATGGTCACTACCCATGCCTTTACGTCTATCTGGGCCAACAGGAACTTGGCAACGGGTAAGAAACAAGGTAAATGTGTGGGAAGTCTTGTTGCTCCTGGCTCGCAAAATTAATTATCATCGACTTGGGCTAACGCAGCATGTCTTCTGCGTGACAAATTGGCGCCCAGACACCGCATGAGGCATTGTTCTCTGGCTGCCAATTCACTATCAAATCCCCGCTCTTGGATGTTCGTGGCTCCCTCAACCTTGAATGGGGTATCCTTTCTCCAACTCAAAACGCTTGCTGACATGTCATCATCCGGCAACTCTCCACGATGCTGCCCACGTCCTATTTTGGTAACATGTAGCGACGGCATCTGACTTGCACCATCTTGCAGTATCCCCTCCAGTTCTCAAATCCCGGGTGAGCTCTCAAAATAGGGGCTCGAACCTGGGCTGGGGTCCCACCGAGTGCAACATGACTCTGCAAGGCTGCTACATCCACCAACATCGGCAGAGCCCGGGTTCTTTGAACCGGATGTTGAGATCGTCCATCACATTTTGAATGCAATTTCAAATCCACATAGGGTCGGGGCAATTTCGATAATTCCCCGTCGATATAGGTGATCAAACCTCGAGTGCTACCCGCCAGGTTGGCACCGCTCGAACCCCTTCCTCGGCATTTGCATGATCACCTGGTTCCCCTGTCCGGTACATTTGCCTGTTCGGCGACGGCCAACTTGCTTTTTTCAAATGGCCTGTCTGATACCCACAATTATCGCGAGCCTCGGTGGTCACATAAGAAGTTGGTAACAAGTTCCACTTACAGCCTGTCAATGAGCTTAGACTCTTGGTCATGAATTTTAATATAATCTACCGCCCACCTTCCTCGTTCATTCCGGATGTCTGGATTTCAGCTGCAGGTGCATCATGGCGTACAACTCGGCACTTGTCGAGACATGGTGCCTCTACGCCGTGGGGTCTCTGATCTTCGCGGCCAGAATAGCCTGCCGTGTACGAACGATCGGACTGGCTGGTTTCAAGCCTGATGATTACATTGTCTTCCTGTCATGGGTGAGTACATCTGACTCTCTTCTAGGGCCCCTCCCGAAAACGATCCCTTGGTCATGTAGCTAATAGCGGCAATCTGATAGGGAACTTACACAGTCATGACCGTTGCGGCGCATTTCGTTGGCGGAGTCGGCGACCTACATGCGTTATCCGACGAAGAACGCAAAAACCTGACGGACGAGGAAGCAAAAGTTCTGGTTTTCGGGACGCAGTGGTTCTGCATCGGCGTCGCGACGTATGTCCTCTTCATCTGGACCCTCAAACTCAACATGCTCTTCCTCTATCAGCGCGTGGTCAAGGGGCTATGGGTTGCAAGGTTCATCAAGCCGACGATCTATCTGGTCATCGCAACTTTCGTGGCCATCTACTTGATACTCTTTTGCGCATGCCGTCCGTACAGCCGGATGTGGACTGTTTATCCTAATCAGGGTGGTGAGTTGGCCTGCGCAACACTTTAGTCACACATCAGCTGGCTCTTGCTAACATTGATTCACAAGGGATTTGTCGTCCAGATTCTGTGCTCAACATGGTGCCGGCTCTAGTGATGAACGTCTTCACAGACGTGCTCATCATGGCGATTCCGGCGCCAGTTGTAATACCTATAAAGACAGCGCTGTGGAAGCGGATCATCCTGATCGCCCTCTTCGGGGCCGGTCTCTTCATAATGATCGCGGCCATTCTCAGAGTGGCCATGGTCCTGGTGGTAAGCTACAACTCTTAGCCCTTTTCTTCGTCATCTCGTTATTCTCTTCGTCAAGCCGCCTCTTCTTAGTATCGTGATTCGTCCCACTCGAACTGACAACATGACCCTCTGCAGATGAAGACCGGGCCTACGGCAGCAATATGGTCGTGCCGTGAAGATTTTGTCGCCATCGTCGTGGGACAGGCCATGCTACTCCGCCCCATCTTCACCAAAAACTTCTGGACCACCGGGACGTACAGGTCATCCGGAGCTGGATATTCTTCAAAGAACAGTGCCAACCCCGGTGGATCCGAGGCAGCCACCAAGCGGAGCAGAGCTAATAAGGACCCCTTCAGCGTGACGGTCGCGCTCGCCACCATCCAGGGCAACGACAGCGAGTCTACCGACGGGATTATCGATCCTTCCACGGCACAGATCGGCCAGATCCATACCATCCAGGAGTGCTCGCGGTCCTCGTCCGAAGCAGACGACCTGGAGAGAGGCAGGGGAGCGAGGAGCGGGAAAATGGTCATCCACGTCAGCAAAGACGTGCGGGTCGAGGAGACGGGCAGGGGAAATGGCGGCCATCCAACGCTGAGTCGGTCGAGCCACTCGATGCGTGCCACAAGCAGGGCAGACTGTTGGAACGAGACGCAAGCCGCTCATAGCGAGAACCAACAGCATCGGGAGCGTCCATGATTATTGGGGGCACAAAAGCAGCGGGAATTTCTCCGTTACACCAAGGATGGGCTATTTGCTGCATGTTTCTTTGCTTTTTCTTCTTCCTGTACCGTTTTAGCCCGATATCTTCCAGCCACTTAGACAGTGTTTGACTGGGTCTGAGGCAAAGAGGGGACCTCACCCAGTCCACTAATAATACTCAGAGCATTACGAAAGACGAGAAAAGAAGAGTTTTCTTCAAGATCAACTCCACTTTTCCATGTATCCATCGGACCACGTCGAGGTAGTCCAAACCTCATCCCGAGATATGTCCCCTCTGCGCGCTTTCTTGGCTGCCACTCGCCCTCGCGACGGGGAACTCATCCAGTATTCCCTGCGAGATGCCCACCAACTCGCTCGCTGTTCTGCCTCATGGCCAATCACGACGGTTGCCCGCTCTCTGGGAGCTCAGCCACCATTGCTCCCCCACCGCAAGGTTTTCCCCTATACAGGGCACTGGCCGAACGGGCCGGGCGGGCAAAGAAAGTTCCACATCTTTGCCAACGGTTTTCTCACCTCACAACACCAGCCCCTGGACCCATCCAACGGTTCTCCACCGTGGGGATGCCATCATCCACCCAAACCATCTCAGCAATGATAGGTGACTAGCCCCTTCTCCCAAATCTGTTGCCTCGTGTCTTCTCCCAACCAAGATCACACCGTCCACCGGGCTGTTAGGTGTGTAGCTTATCTACCAACGGAGGAGACCGCTTAGCCACCAGTCCCAACCTACCACCTATGCCCCATTAACAATAGGGAGGGCGCCTGTGTCACATGCTGTCTTTGAATCCGCCAAGAATTTTCCCACAGCCGATCAGGCTAGGTATTGCCCCTTGCTCATAAGTGAAACTAACAGTTGAGTGATCTTAGAGCAGAATCTTGCGTCCTTTTGAGATCCATAGCACCCGCAGCGAGTGCATAAAAAGTCCAAATCGGTGTGGCATTTGTTGGTGAGAATGAGACAACGGCGTGCGCCTCAATCAATGCATTGGGCCATTCATTCTCTATCATGATTTGGCCGTGAGCAAGGTGGACGACTATTTGCGTTCATACCATCCGAGCCTTCGAGAGCTTAGACTTAGATGCCGCCTATAGCTGCTCTTCCTCGATCAAAGTGAAGATCATTGCACTCTGTAATTCTCATGATTATTTAAAGACGCTGTCAATAGTCACTGGGTGTTAAAGGCTCCAAGTTCTTGTAAAACAACAATCTGGTATCGTTTTTAACATACCCATGTAAATGTCAACATCGTCCATCTATACCCAACGCCTAGCCTTTCCCTGACACTGTGTCTTCAATAATGCATGAAATCCCGCCGTCCAACGCCGAAATCCAAATTTTTTTGAACAAAGGAAAGTCGCAATGGTCCCAGCAACAGCAGATCGCGCAAATATGGGCACAATAAGACAATTTTGGAAAATATAGTCGGGCTGTTTAGTTCCGGTAGATTAATCGTCGTCATCCCTCTCGCCCTCGAGGAAGATCTCATGGCCAGAACCCTCATGCATTCCAAGAGCAGTAAGGCAGGCAACAGCGGACATTGCTGCAGTGAGCCACCAGCCCCAAGCCACCATGCCGATGTCAAGTCCAAAGCCATACCACCATCCGCCGACAACGGGGCCAACAGTACGGAAGCCCGCTGAAACGGACTGACCTAAGCCGTGGATCGTACCAAGCACACTTGGGTGGGGAGAGCAGTTGTTTAGGAGGATAATGCTGGCCGGAAGTGTGAACGTGCGAGCCGTGACCTGAAACAACAGGACAATAATGATACCTGACCAGATAAGGAAACCTGAAGCTGGTTCAGGGGCTTGGGTCCCGGAAGGCAGGATCGCAATATATGGCGCAATGAAATAAGCCACCGGAAAGAGAGGGAGAAGCCATCGGAAGGATCGAATTGTTCCCAGACGGGCTTGAACAGGAGGGTAGAGGAATATTTGAAGAACCATTCCCAAAACTCCTAGGATAGAAGTTGCCAAACCAACAGTAGACGCAGGCATCCCCAGACCACCCGTAAACAGGAGGGGAAGACTACGCTTCTCCGAGGGGGATGTTTGGACTTCTGACGAAAGATATCGTGGAGTAGAGAGAAAGAGTGACCAGATGTTGGTAAAGGCGCCTAGGTGGAAATCATAAAAGGCCCCGGTAAGTAAGGTGAAGACGACATTGCGTGTCCAGAGACGAGTAAAAGGGAGTACTCTGTTTTCCTGTACTCGAACCGTCTTTTCCAAGAGCTCCTTTTGGTGATCGGGTTCTATTGTACTCATCTGCACAGATGTGTCCTGCCAGTCGTAGGCAATCTGGGCGTATCCATCGTGTGGTCGAGAACGTGTTACGAAGGCTTTAAGCCGGGAACCCAAATGGAGGCCAATATCGAACTTTCCCTTACGCTCCTTAGAGGTCTATCCCAACAAACAATTAAGTCAGCAACACGATGCTCAGAGGGCTGTCGACTGGGGCAAAGATGGTGTTCGATCGTACTTGCCTCTTCTAAAAAGAAAAATGTGATCAGGGTTGAAATAGTGAGCAACAGAGCATTGATTAGGCTGGGTAATGCAAAAGGATAAGTCTGAAGCCACTTGAAACCCAAGGGAGCATTCTCGCCGAATATCCCAGGAAGCGTCGTCTGGGGTTCAGCTAGGAGACCACCCATCACTAGGTTTTTACGTCAGCTTTAAAATCGAGACAGTATCTTGAATAGAGACCAAGGTTTGACTTACCTGGGCCGAGAATTCCTGCCACATTGAAACTCATGGGCAGAAGCAGAAACGCACGGGACTGGTATTTCTTCTCCTTTGTGATTTCGGCAATCATGGTACGACTAAAAGGTCAAAAGCACATTAGCGGTAGTCCAGACGACGAATCCATTAACAAATCTTCCAGAGTCTCACTCACATGATGCCAACAGTGCCGTTAATCGCGCCCCCAAAAGCTCTCCAGAAAGCAGCCCAGAAAAATGTAGTGGCGAAGCCATATCCTAAGCAGCTGATGGCAGTTCCTCCGAGACCAATGACGAGAACCCATTTCCGTCCGCACCAGCTGGCATCAGCAGCTTTGCCCCAGAGGATCGCAGTCAAGACCTGTGCGCCAGTGAAGCAGCCCTGTAACAGGCCAGCCTGGCGAGCAACCTGAGTGCTGGATAGTGAGCCATCAAACGACTTGAGCTGGTAGAAAACATAAGCCTGGAGGGATGCAACCTGGAGGAAATCGACCAGGCGCCCGATAAACAAGATGAAGAGCTGATCTTTGCGAGGAAGTGACATCCAGGTCACTTGTCCTGTGGCATTTGCCTTGAAATTCGCTTTGGGCTTCTCGTCAATTGGCGAAAGCATTTTGAGTGGTCGTAGTGACTCGGTGTCGAGTGTTGGAGGATTCAACATTGACGAAGAAGATGCAGAGGAAGACTCGCCAATAAGACCCGGAGAGAGTGGCATTGTCGACGTCCTCGGAAAGGCCTCTATCGTTGGTGCTCTTGGACTCGCCCTGGGACTGCTCCAGTTTCGGTCACCTGCTTGGCTTCGATGAGGCCTTCTAGGCTCAAGAGGCGGGGCAATGGCCCGATCATTGCTAAATGATCTGCTGTGGCCTGCCATTTTGAAGAACCAAAAAGTAGATTCACTCAGGCTTGAATCAAGAAGAATTTGGTTGGGTAGACCTGAGTGTCATGCGCCTCCGAGGCCACGCCAAAGATAGAAGAGTATACGCAACTCAAAGTCCTCCGGCGAGGTTAATTATTCTGGGGGGATGACGAACACCGATCCTTGCTGCAGATGCTGCAGATATACGAGTATGGTTGGCGTCCTGTCAAGGGTGGGGGGTAAGCAAGCGTAGGACGACTCGGCTTTAGCTGCACTGCCAGGATCAAGGATGAAAACGTATGGCTGGTGTTGCGATGCTACTAGTAACCAGATGAGCGAGTAGTGGTGAGAAAGAACCAAACAAGGCGATTTGAGTGTCGGGTCTGAATGTGTTGTTGCACCCAAAAGTAGAGTCCAAATAGATCGGATCTCACATACCCAAGATGGGTAAGTTGAAGGTTGTTTTGGAAAGCAGTAGGTGTCCCGGATGTTTTGAAAAAGTCCCTCCTTGAATAAGATGATAATCAAGCTTCTCAAGGGTGGGCCGAGTGGGCGAGAGGAGGGAGTGAAGTGGGACTTTGAGACGACGCGCACGCTCTCACTAGACCGATCTCACACTATTACTGTCGTGACCATGGATATGGACATGTTGTAAGACTAAAAGGGCGACAATCTTGATTTAGCAATACGAACTTCCTTCCAAAGCGGGTACTGTGATGCGGGATCAATATTGGGGCGAGGATGGGAGGGATGATGATGCCGTGTTCATGTATATTAACGGCTGGGTAGTTCAAATACAAGATTCCGGCGAGTGGAGATAGTGCTGCTGAACACGTAACGACAACGAGGCACTCGTCTATTGAGGCTCAGTGGAAAGGGTTGGTGGGGAGACGTGCACCGGTGAACAGGGAACAGACGCGGAAGTAAATCAGGCTTGATGATGTTGAAGGGAATCAACGTATTACCGTACTTACCGTGCTTCCGGCACTTATGAAAAGAAAAAGTTCCGTTTGAGAAAGATGGGGTCAACTGGAAAGAATGAAACCTGCTTCAGATTTCTCGGTCCGTGGGCACCAAAGGCCAGTTTCGGAGAGAACGGAGGGTAGAGCGAACAGATGATAAGGATAGTTGGCAGGCACTCCTTCTTGCGGGCAGGAAGTCAAATGCCATCTGCCGGAACAGGCATGAAGAAGAAGACGGCTCTGGAAGAAATGGTCCTACTGTGCAGGGGTCAAGGAACTCCATCCCATGGCGAGACGAAGCAGCTGGTGTATAGAGTTGAGTGGAGGAAATGACGATATTGCACCCGACCTGGACAGCACAGTACTTTGGACGTTGCAGGCATTAGACCTAGCAATACTGGCGGGTGCCTTTGGAAATTAGTCGGTGATATGCATGTACGTTCGTTCCTGCCAATCTCTACTCAACTGCCATGAAGAAGACCCTCCTGCCTGGACAATGTGATCGGACTTTCCCAGCTGGGCAGCATATCGACAAGCGGAAGGCACCGCCTGCACAATTGGGAAAGGCCTAGGAGGTTTCGATCGACCAGTGACGGGCCGAGCAAAGCAAATGGAAATGCTAGGCGACTATCACTTCAATGTAGGTAGCGTGTGAGGAACTTTGAGAGGTCTGTGGTGCTTCAGGCATGTCGCAGGATGGTGTCGGCCCCTGGCCAGTGCCTGCTACAACAGGCAGAGCGCCGGCAGACGATGGGGCGGATCTCGGGTCGTCGGCGGCTCACCAGCCCTCGCTCTCCACATTCTGCACCCAAGGGGACGGATATCGGCCGCGGCAGACAGGGGAAAGGGCCGCCCGAGGCTGGTTGTCAAGAGCGATCATCATTGACAACCCACGGCACAGTATAATGATGCAGGACATCGATGGCAGACGCATCCACAGCTGGCGGGAGCTACAGTAGTTACAGCTAGCTTACGTGGCTTGGCTGTGCTAGTGCTGCCGTCTGTATTCCAGATAAGCTTCTTCCGCCAACTTCACGCTCTCTCAACACGTCATGTCTCGGACGAGTGTGGCCGATTTGACGCAGCCCTTGACGAAGAGACACCACCCCATTGCTCGAGCGTTGCTCTAGCCTTGAACAGCCCGAAACCGCGCACAGTCCACCTCTCATCGTGCTCCAAAGCAGCCTTGAAGCCCTGATCTGGCATCTGCAGGTCCCGGGCTTGGCAATGCTTAGCTGTCCTTGGCACTGTCGAACCCACATCATGGATCGTCAGGGGCTTGGCTTCAAACAGCTCCAGGCCTATCTTTCATGAGAAAACAAGCATACACATAACCATTCGCTACATGTAAGTTTAATATCTTAATCACAAGCATGCTTCACCGTCCCGACTCGCTGCAGGGCCCCTCCCTCCTTCACCCCTTCCACTAGGGAAATTGAAGCCAGCAAGTCGTCAGCTCCAATGCAACGAGGTGGACCATCGTGGACCGACCGTGAAATCCATCTACCCACTCTGGAGAGGCTCAGCCCAGACAACGTCATGCCTCGTGAAACACAGCAGCCGGCAACACGGACTTCCATGTTCCGGCCTCACGTTGCACAGGCACAATGCCCCGTTCTTTCGTCCCAGAGGCCAGGATTGTCAAACGCCGGCTGGTGATCGATTCCGTCTGAATGTATGGATTGGGTAGTAGGAGACCTGGCCGTCTGCAAGATATGTCATACCAAGCGCCCGAGCGAGCGAATCTATCCACCGTCGCGTGGAGCATCCGCCCCCCATTCGACGATGGATGGAGCAAGGACGGAAAATTAACTGTCTAGAAGAGGAAAGCGAGCGAACGCATATCGCGCTTCCAGAGACAGACTTGGTGGGTTAGACCAGGAGCCGGACGTGCATCAGAATTCTCAAAACCCTTTCGGCGGCAAAAGCAATTAGCGCTCGCTCTGGGAACAGCACTTTGGCATTAGTCTTGGAAGCGTTATTTGAATACTATCAGTAAGTCTTACTAGATCTCTAAATCCATCCACACTCAAGTCTCCATTCCCCAAGCAGGGGCCGCGCGGCATCAAAGTGAGCTGGGTTGGCCCTCTGTCCATCTCCCTCCATATCCTACGCATACATAACACAGCACCTGATCAGACCACCAAATGGCACAGTTGGGAAACCCCAGGAAAATCCATGCTGGTCTGGGGGAGGGAAAAGCAGAGAGCCTTGCCATTACCCCCAACCATTGGTCGTGGCATCGTTGACTCCCTCGACTCCTCCGCTGCAAGGCCGGGCCAGTCGGATCCAAGAAAGCCGTGGTAACATCCACGATTGATAACCTGCTCACCGTGCGCCACCGCCGTCTAAGTGAACTTCATGGCTCATCCCCAAGCCAGTCGTGTGGAGCCGGGAGACTGAAACTTGCTTGGGGTCTGTTTAGCATACTATCACCAGCCCCGGTTTTTGGCAGAGTCATGCTGCATCTAGCCTTGTAGCTGTCCCCATCATGATACCCTGCCCATCCTTGCTGGAGGTGGGTGCGTCCCTTTTTTCATTCTCTGCCCATCCAATAGCTCATCTCTTCGTCTCTGCAGCGTGTTTTGTATCGCTCTGCATCGTAGTACATCCGTAAGGTACCTCCTTTCCACGGTCGTGGGCTCGAGCATGCAGTAACAGACTAGGTGTAGACCCCCTCGTAACTTTGAGCCGTGGCTAGTTAAGTCTGCTCCATGTTGCGACGTAGCACATACGTACGTAACGCGCGGATGAAATGTAGATGTGGTGTGAGTCTACTTTGCGGATCTTTCTTGCTCGCCTTCCATGCTCTTGCTTCCAGATAGGAGATTGGTTGCGCACTGAGCATCCTGACTTGTGGTAGGCAAGGTACTTAGATATAGACCTCTCCGTCCGCTCCTTCCCCCTGAGCTCCTCCTCCCTTTTCTTCTTCCTTATCATCATCATCTTTGCCACTGTCGCTTCTGTTGTCCTCATCGTTCTCTTTCTTCTGCCTGCTCAGCTTAGCTGCCCGACTCAAAAACTCCTTCTCCTGTAACACACCCGGTTTCTCGCTTGGCGCCCTCTACCTGCTCCTTTCTTGCTTTACTCTTCCTTTCTTGATACCCAGACATTACCGAAACCATGGTCCAGTCCACCCAGTACAAGCCTCGTCCCCTCACGGATGTATTCACCAACGATACCGACATCGACCGTCGAACATGTAGCCGCAAGGTCCCCATGAAGGTCCTTATCCTCGGCCTAGGCCGTACCGGCACAGCCTGTGAGCACCCTCCCATCGCCTTCATCTTGAGAGCTTGGCCTCAATTCTTTTCCGTCAACCCCATGCTAACCGCACGGTCCGCTCGCTAGCCATGCGCGCCGCCATGAAACAGCTCGGCTATGTGGACACCTACCACATGATGAATTGCTCCATCGAGAACCCTCCAGATGCCCTCATGTGGATGGACGCCCTTACAGCCAAGTATGACGGTAAGGGCAAGCTCTTCACCCGTGAGGACTGGGACAAGCTATTAGGCAATGCCCAGGCCGTTTGTGACTGGCCCGCCATCGCCTTCGCCAAGGAACTCATCGAAGCGTACCCCGAAGCCAAGGTCGTGCTCACCAATCGCGAGGTTCACTCCTGGCACGCGTCCACAATGAAGACGGTGTACTGGCGAGTCACCGATCCCGAGCTCCGTTGGTTGTCCAACTTCGATTGGGCTGCTAGCATGTACTATCCAATGCTCAAGAAGTTCTTCGACACTTTCTTCGAGGGCGACTTCCCCAACAAGGGCAAGGAGGTCTTCCAGAAACATTATGCGCAGGTCCGCAGCCTCGTTCCCAAGGATCGTCTCCTTGAGTACCGCGTTCAGGACGGCTGGGAGCCACTGTGCAAGTTCCTTGACCAACCCATCCCTAAGGAATGCCCTTTCCCCAATGTCAACGACAACTCGGACTTTGTGACACGCTCGCGCCGCCGAAACAGAAACCAGATGTACAATTGCGCTCTGCGTTATCTCCTCAACACCGCGCTCTTCGTTGTTGCATTCCTTTTCCTCTACCGGCTCGCCGCCAGCATGGGTCTTGTCAAATCCCGTGCTGCTTCATACACCCTAGACTTCTCAGCGATCCAGGCATTGTTGGATCAGCAATCTTAGAGAGATTGTCCTAATGCGATGGATTCTCATAATGCTTCAGGTACATTAGAGTAAACTTTTCGTTCATGTTTGACTTCTCGGAAGTGTTCGTGTTATCGGTCGGTGATTGATTTCCATCTGGCCTTCAAACTCTCCAGGAGCCAAGGGACTTTCTCGACAGATAATAACTCTCTTTGATGGATATAAAAAAGGATGGCGTTGAGGTGTTTTCTTCCTTTTGTATTTCTTCTTTGAAATCCAGAGGCTCTTTCAGAGCTAAAATGTACAGAAGTTTATCCAGGTGATAATATGTTGAGGAATCAATATCAGGTCATCCAAGAATCTTCACAATATTCTCAAAAAAAAATTTATGCTGTCTTCGTAGTTTGGTAGCCAGCCTTGAGAAAAGGGAGATGACATGGTAAAAGGTCCAAAAAGAAATAGCGTAAAGGAATCGTTGCGTACAAAGGTTTCAGCTACAAAATCACAAACGTTTTCCTGTCTATCAGTAAAGCAGATGGTTATCTCCGCAGCAAGCAGCGTGACGAAAAGACTCAGTATAGCCAAGTAGAGAGGTGAGAGCAACGTTTATACAACTCAAGTGTTGGCGATTCCGTTCTACTTCCTAATAATCGATGGACGACACGATTCAGATGAGGATAATAGACTTGGCTTGACGCGTAGAAAAAGTTAGACCAATTCAATCTAGGGGGCCATATTTTTCATGCAGTTCTTTCGCGACAAGATATGTATTGCACAAACTGGCATATCAAATACGGTAGAATTTGGTCCATACTAGGTATGCTCAGCACCAAGCTAGTTACAATAAGGACAGCGTAACAAGAAAGGGCCAGGGCACTCTTGTAGAGGGGAATTCAAGTAGCCAGTCGGGGACAAGAGAACTACGGATATGATAGGGGTTGAAATAGCAACACCGACGATGATACCAATAAGACTAGAAGGCTGTGTTCTTGAAGGCTCATATCCCCCAGTAGCTATGCGTCAACCTTCATTCTCCTCCTGCTTTATACACAACTATAGGTCGTACAGTCATACGGTCTAGAAGACCTCTCCTTTAATGCTGCGTTTGCATGGAGATCTTAGATGTTCTTGGTTCGTTGCGAGAACTTAAACAGACCTACTCCTGCCTCCGTACCTACGATGCGTTGCTGACAGTTGCCTCTTTTCACGGGTTCGGTCGTAGCATGATAGATATCCTTACTCTTAAAGGCAAGGTAGATGATGTTGAAGCCATACCCAAAGTCATTCCATACTCTGCCATCGGACAGACAATACCCGCCGTGGGAACTGGCCTCTCCAAGACATCTCTCCCCCTCTTGCTGCTCCGAATCAGATCCAATTGCCGAGACAAAATCGCCATACAGAGTCCTGACTTCTTTCTATGTAGCGCCATTATTCTATTACCTTTTCATCTGTTCGTTCGCTTGGAAGCAATTCTCCCATCACTGAGATTGCCACCTGGAGTGCAAGTGCGATATTGACCGGCGCCCTATCTCGATATGCACAGGCTCCTGGCCCATCGTTGTTGGCTTCCGGTATGCCTCGTTCACGAGGCGGATGCTATGTAGAATCCACATGCTCATTGCCGGCTCCATGAGTCTCGGTGTCTTTGCCGGAGCTTGTGGCATCTGATAAGCCATCGAGCTCAGCAAGCTGGGAAGCCCAAACTACGCCAAATATGTTAGTATCTATGGCATGCATATGCATACGTGTCTTCAGGCAGTTATAACAGACCTAGATAAAGGGTTGGGATCATCGAGGAGTGCAGACGACACGAGTGGTGGCACTGGTAAATCGATCAAAATGAAAGACTTCAGCGACGGCGTTTTTCTTTTCTATGCACACCGCACCTGGACAGACTTCAATCCTCACAATGGCAGTAGAAGCAACCATGGCAGTAAGCACGACGAGGGTTCTAACGAAGGCTCTATAGAAGATGACGAGGTCATCCTGCGGAACGACACCGAGACACCCGACAGTCAGATTACCAGATACGCAAGGACATGAAGATCACACGGTTTTAATCGGAGTGAGGAGTCTACAATAGGGTATAAATATCGCCTGGAGCATCAAGGGAACCATTTGAGGAATGTAACCATCCAAACGAAGTTGTATATCAAGGAACATATGGTCGAAAGCCGTGCATCCTGAACCAGCCTTACGAACAACATGTAGGAAGACAAGGCATTTCAGATAAAAGAAAAGGTTCTCCTGCCTCCATCATTCCTTTATCACTTTTCAGTCCAAGTACGTCTTTCACTGTCGACCAAAAATGGCATAAGAATGGGCAGTGTTCACAAGTATCCCCTACATAATTAAACAGAAGTCTACAGCCAAAGCGAAATCCAGTTCCAGGCAAACAAACCAAATCCCGTGCTACGTCCGCCGAATCAGTCAAAATTCTTGATTCAGACATATGGCCACATGCCTATCTCCCTGACTTAGACACGCCACAGTGACATCTCATGTCCCGGAGACCCGTGTCATGCCATTGTCCTGATCGGCCGGCTCCGATGAGACCTGCTTGGTGATTGCCTCGGACCGGTCTGGACCAAACACACAAGTCTCGGGGCGCCTCCGGAGATTGCGCAAACAAGAGTCATGAATTGAGTTTGGATAGTACGTTTGTAAGTCAGTAAGTCGAAGGGTCTATCAATCATCACATATCTACCTTAAGTCCGATAAGGAGGGGGCGTGTGTTCCAAATCGAAGATTTAAACGAAAGCCAGAATCAACATATTGATTGTGCTAGTTTAGCCACAAAAGAACAAGAGAGGAATTGTGACGAACTCTCCAAGCTTCGCGGCTACAAGTAGGTTCCAAGTTGCATGTCTTGCAAGTAACGCCGTTCCCGTTCATAGTTCAGAACTCTAACTCTGAGCCACGAGCACGGAAGACACTCGCCGTAGTCGGTTCCGCAGGTTTTGAGTTAACGCCGTCCTCGCTGGAATCCTCAGCAGAGTTTAATCGTTTCCGCCCACGGAACGGAGCCGGCCGATTGTGTTCCTTATCTAAATAGTTGCAGGAAAGATAGTTGGAGAAGGCCAACCCTCTCTAGCTTCATGCTGATGAATCAGGGCCCAGCAGCTGCAGCATAGAGTTTAGCCATCGACGTAGCCACCATATCTAAAATGTAGCTGGCCGCGTCTGGTTGGACCTTCGTCTAGGGTCCGGAGGAGGGGGTTTGGCTGTTTGGCTTCCGAGACTCCTGAAGCCACCGCTAGCAGTAGCTTTGGGGGATGCCTCTCTCTCACATGGCCATTACCAATCTAGCGGGCATGCTTCACACGCTGCTCACCCAACCCAGCTACAAAGGTCACCAGCTACCCATTCTAGCAAAAGCCATGTCACTACGGGGCGGCTTAGTTCTCGGGGAGATGCTCGCAGCTTCCCACGGGTGCTAGGTTAGTGCACTCTACTGTAAGCGAGCGAGGATGGAGGTGGTGGGATGGGGGGAGAGGGGCTGGGCTGGAGCTGAGCAGCCATTCGTTCAGCCAGGCCGCCCTCGATTGAATTCTGACTTTACCGGTCGTCGCACTTCTGCAGCACTTGTGAACCCCCGGTGAGGGGGGAAGGCGTGAAGATGATGGTGATACCATCCTCGCTAGTCCAGCCCCCCAAGTGTCGCAGCCTGCATGAGCTTTCCTAGGAGGCGCGGGCCCCCGTGTGAGACGGTGTGCGTGTGTATGGATGAGTCTAGCTGCATACAACAATAGGAGTCCATTGAGCTGTATCTCCGTCGTCACAATCGCCGTCGCCGTCGCCGCCCCCGCCCGGCTTGAAGCAGAATCGTACATGTCGCATGCATGAACAATGGCGAGGGTTTTTCGTTGTCCCTCCACTGAGCCCTTCACCGCTCCTCAAGCCAGATGGCAAGGGGAAAGGAAAGCCATAGACTCTGTGTGCTGATTCGACCACTATGCCATGCTCGGCCGCATCACGCCGACACCGCCAAAGGCGAGTGGCTGGCTGCACGACCAACTTGGTGTCAGTAGGATAGCGCAAGCGGCGCCGGATTGCTTATCCTGCACTTGCAATCAGCAAAGCAACCCCTCACCTATCGCCCCAATCATCGTCGTGGACATGAGTCGTGGGTGATGGGGAAGCCCGGAAGCCCCTCACTGGCGTTCCCTTATGCAAGCCATCGAATGTTACGGCCCATTGGGGGAAAAGGTGTGTGTGGAGGCCCGAGTGAAGGGGTCCGTGATGCGTCGTCACCGTCTTTGTCTGTGTCCGCGGGAGGGGATACGAGAGAGAGGTATGTGCGCTCTCTCCGGTCAGATCATGTCATGTCAAATCACATAGCAGTAGGCAAGCAAGTCTGTGTGGGTGTGGTCCTCCAAGTGAGGACCAATGCTCTTTGAATTTCATTTTAGCTGCGAAAGACTTGTCGTCCTTGCGCTTCATCCTAGCTATGGGCACCCGAGCCCGTCAATGTCTAATCTCTTGTTGAAGCTGTTTGCTTCGAAAAGGAAAGAGAAAAAAAAAAAGCTACAGTGTTTCCCGTATTTCACCCAAAAAAACAATGACTTCCATTCTGTCACCCCAAATAGTAAATTTGAAGCACAAATTGACAGAAGGTGAAAAAAACCACTCCCCAATATCATAAGGGTGAGCGTGTTTGACAAAGACTTTCCCTGCATGTCTCCCCTCTATTGGGGCAGAAGCAAACACCTGAAAAATCCAACTCCAAAACCTTTCCGCAAATAATTAAGTATGTTTTTTGAAATTGGCTTATCTTTTCACATCATAAAAAGTCCGTATCGTATCCAAAGCGGAAACTCAGCAATCCACCTCTTTTGCGCCGATTTTTTTCAATGCTCGCTTCGTAATATCAAAGACAAATCCCTCGGTGCATTGCTTGAATTTTTTTTCTCCTCGTTGAGAGAACTTCTCGCTCAAAATAATAATAATAAAAATGAAAATCTCAAAAGATTGTAATGAGTCATTTCAAAGAATGAAAAACTCCAGTGGTCCAAAAGGGTATCCCAGGGCCGGTCATAGTGTAGCGTTTGATTGGTATGAAATAAAAATTTGCAAGTCGAAACAGAAAAGGTCGTGTGCATCAAGACTGTCAAGTCTCGATCGATCTGCAAGTATCCACGGGGTCGGGAATAAAGGCATTAAAACGTGCTATGTGCAAAGAGTAGCCTGCCATCAAGGCACATGGTGGTGGTTGCTATGGCGTTGTAATCAGAAGCAGCCCTGGAATGAGGGCATGACGGGCACCTGATGATGAAAGACGCCAGAGTGTTGTACCAGTGGCACCTGTTGAACGTATTTGACAACGTCCCAAAGAGGGCAGTATGTCTTGGGAGGGGCGCATGGCGCCTGAATGTGGATGGGTTGCGGGCAGTGAATGGGCTGTGCCTGTTGTGGGATAGGCATGATGGGCCCAGTGTAGTGCTGGGGAACAAATTCCTGACCTAGGTAGACCGGGAGATCCTTGGTGGCTTCCGGTTCGTAGGTGTATGGCGCACAATCAGGTGAGACGCCTCTTTGTTCCCGGATGAAGTCCTCATCGAGGTCATCAATGGTTGATCCGCTGGATGTCAATGAGCCTTCATCAGAAAAGGTCGAGACGGGAGACAGTGGTGAGCCATTGGCGTAGTCATCAACGATGGCATCCTCGGGAGGAGTAACGTATAGAGTGATGAGATGTTCGGGGGTAGCAGGGGGTGATGGAGGGGCGATGACAGTAGCCGTGGGGGAAACAGTCAACTTGGGGCAAGCCTTGATCCTTTCCCGGAGTTCGGGGAGTGTGATCCGGTTCTCGGGGTTGGGGTTAAAGATGCAGCCCAGAATATTGTTCAAGTCATCCGTCACAGGGAGGATGGTCTTGAGGAACTCCTGGGAGCGAGTGAACGCCCGGTAGGTCGAATCTTGGTAAGAAGCCTGCTTCCAAGGGTTTCGCCCGCAAGTCAGATTGGTAAGCACCACGCCCAGACTCCAAACATCGTTGGGGGCACACATGTAGTAGGGCCTCCTGGCTGATGGGTCCAAGCACTCTGTAGCCATGTTAGTAAAGGTTGGCAACGGCGGTGGGGAGGATTGCCGGAGGGGAAGTATGTAAGTAAATACCTGGACTCATGTAGAAGGTTGAACCGCAGCCGTAATCTTCTGATCGGTCTTCTGATGTGGCCAATCCAAAGTCGGCCAGCTTGACGGTGTCACCACCATCCGTAACCAGGATATTCTCCGGCTTGAGATCTCGGTGGTAGATTCCAAGGTTGTGGCAGTGTTCCACGGCATCCAGGATCTGGAGGAAGACCTTCTTGGCAAGTTCGTCGTTACCGACGTACTGGCCACGCTCAGTAATGTTGAGAAACAGGTCGCCCTCCGGGCAGTACTCCAGGATAACGTAGATGCATGCGGCGTCATCCACAATCTTGTGCATCGACACTACATTTGAGTGAGCTGACGCAAGGTAGTGAAGACGAATCTCTCGTTGCTGGTAGGCTACTTGGCGACGTTCCAAGGGAGTTCCATCGGCATTGAACTTGCTCAAACACTTGACAGCATAGCGGACTCCGGTGTTGATATCCACAGCAGTGTATACAACACCGTAAGCGCCAGTGCCTAGAATGTTGGTGAGATGGAGCTTTCCTTCCAGCAGCATGCCTAACCT